AGAAGGTAGGAAGAGACTTGAAGGGTAAAAATAAAGATTTACGTAGCGAGGAAAGGAAGAAGAAGAGAGAGAAAAAAGAAAAACAAGAAGACGAGCGTAAAGTGATACATCCCCTCTCCAGTCCCTAGACAGGCACTCTCTATCAACTGTTGCAGAGTAGGCGGCGGGCCACCGAGACAGCGCTTGGAGCACGGAGGCATGTTTGACAAGATTTAGAGCGTCCCACATGGACCTAACCCGGTCGACTGGGATCATCGTCAGTAGTGAACCCAGGGCATTTCCCCCGGGCCAACACCGATACGATATTGGACAAGAACTGACACACATTAGGGTCACATGATTGAAATGGTATGCGGTTACCCAGCGTGAACCTGCAGGAAAGGTTGCAAAGGAAGAGAAGGATTGGTGATTAGAGTGATCATGGGCTAGACCCAGGATGATGGAGGGGGGGGGAAGATGATGCGACATGAGAAACAGATACCTGCAGACGAACCCCGCCTGGGAAGCGAATCGTATCGTGGCGCGGTGTAGCTGCAAGCCTAGATGACTGGCTCGAAGACTACCAACGGAACGTGCAGCACAAATAGAACGTCATGTAGTAAGTTGGCAGCCAGCATGCAGAAAATCGACCGAAGTCACAACAATGGACTGCATGGCATAGCCTCACAGGCCACAATTACCGCGTGGGTGGGCAAATCTGCTGTGAGAGGGAAAGGATCAACATCCACTTAACATGCATCGTCGTCCAGTAGTCGCCGGCCCGGCTGCGCAACCCCAAACATTGGGGGAAGATAAGATCTCCTGGGGAGCCTCTGGTTTCCAATGGCTTTCAAAACAACCAGCAGAACAAGTCATCATCATATAAAAAAATAATTAAACCAGGAAAGCAAGACGAGCGAAAAAAATTAAAAAAGGCAAAAACAAAAAAGAGGAGTGGGAAAGGTGAAGAATCAAACAAACCCTCCTCGGAGTTATTAACACCACACACCCTATACATAACATAGGTGGTTTAGGAAAAAAACGAAAAAGACGCCGGAAATGGGTTTTACAGGAATCCGGATAGCCTCATTGGCGCCCTCGTCATTTGTCAGTCCCACGGGAAAATGCGACAAGAGAATCAATCACCCCCAGGGGAGCGCAATTCGTTGGTTGACGTGGACTGGGGAAGTCATGAAGTATGTATGTATGTATGTACAAATAATGTTGCTGGGACCCAATCCGCCCAGTGTACTTGCTTAGCAGTGTGACCATGAAAAATGTCCGTGACGAATAACTGATGGCTGCATAGGTCGAGCTATGAAAAAGCAATTTCCCGTCTCCAGCCAATCGTTCAACTTAATTCGCTCTTGGCTTGTTCCATCCGCTGCCGTCTGATATCCGTGCTGCTGATTTTGGACGCAAAATCTTCGAAATCACTCGACGGCACGTCTTTGGAATGGAGCACGTCAATCTCAAATACATCGAGCCTTTTCCAACCCTTCTCTGCACGTCTTTCGTTGACCGCGGCACCTCCCGAGCGAGTTTCTTGGGAGACCACGATGGCGCTAATGTCCTCCTCCGTGATGGTGGGCCCAAACGGATCGGAAATCTGCACAAGTTTCAGGGTCAATCCGGACCGTACTTTCATCAGAATATATTTTCCGTTAGGCCCTGGTTGCGTGACCCGCTCGGTACGTGTGGCGCTCTTGTCAGGAGGGTAAAAGTCCATGATGGCCGTCAGAAAGGATGCAACACCCTCACACCGCTCATCCCAGCTTTCCAGGCATTCAGCATACTTCTTGTTCACTAGCAGTTCATCACCAGTCACGCCAATTGTCAGAAGCGCCTCTTTCCCCGGATTGGTGTCCCTAACAGGATCTAAGACCAACGCCATGGCAGTGAGCAGTAGCTTGTGTCCAATATGGAAATGATCGAAGGTGCCGCCTACAATAACCGACTGATGTGTCTGGCTTCCTCGTGAGTCGTCCGGCGCCACAATTGATTCCGAAGATGTCCAGCTGGAGGCGCCGGGAATGGAGTGCAGAGTCCCGGCATTGGGGTCCTTAAACTGGGAATAGATACTACTGAAGGCCGTTGCTAGATTCTGACCTACTTGATTATCCGGATAATAGATTTGGTCCCATGGACGAGCTGAGGTCGCAAGGGTTTGCAAGTCTAGGATGGGTCCCATTTGCGAAGCCTGGGAGGAGTCTTTCCCGGAAGGATGTACGGTATCCAAATCAAGCAAAATGACTCGCGTGTTGATACCACCAGGGGCATCCAGCCCAATACTGTTCTCAACGGAGACTATCCCAATGAGCCTATAGAGATTTGCTAGCAAACTTTGGAGACTCGTGAACAACGTGGCCCGGGGCTGACAGATATGTGATTGGAGTCCCGGAAGAAAGAGAGCAATATCCAAGATGGCAGTGTGGTTGGTACCATTGATTTCAGCAAGCTTGGTGAAAACTGTAGATAAGAGCGACTCATACACATTTCTGCACTGCTCGAACGACGCCGCTGGTGGGGGTGGAAGCAGTAGCAATGCCGAGGCCGCGCTGATGCGATTTAAAGCCATACTGAATGCGGGGAGTTGTCTTGTATGACGAAGAAACAACAGAAAGTTGGATACGGCTGTTGATGTGGGAAATAGAAGTAGAAGTGTGAAGATCGAAAACAAGAGTACCAGGATGGAGATTATCCTGTTTCGGACGACCTGAAGTGTACTTGTTTTTTTTTTTTTTTTTTTTTTCCCTGAGAGTCTGGGGAAGACGGGAAATGCTTAGTAGTAGTACGGAGTACGGAGTAGTAGTAGTAGTAGTAGTAGTAGTAGTAGTAGTAGTGAAATCAATTGGCACTAAAAGGTAAAATCAATGAATGTAAGGAATTAAATTGTATTGGGGAATTCCACCCCCGCGGCTGGCTGACTCAGCCGTACACTGAGACATTCAAGTCAATCAATCAATCGACCTGGACCTGGATGAACGTTATCCCTTCTTATGCCCGTCGCCCGCCTCTTCCTTTTCTTTTACTCTCTTCCAAAGCTCTAGGATGTTCTGCTAAGCTACTTCCAAGGCCATTTGTACCGAGTGATTTAGACAAGACCACGTATGCCCTTGGTGTAGCCAGAGCTCCTAGCTTACGCATCCCTCTCTCTCCCCGCCTTCAAGTCCAGTCGGGATATAACCCACCAACACCTTCAGCTGCAACCTCGGACGGTGGAAAACGATCGGAGGAACTGTGTTTGCAATTTGGCTGGCAGAGCCTGGTAATTAATCTTTAGAAGGAGAAAATCTCCATTGTTGTTCCCGGTACCATGTCGAACCCATCGCAACCCTTCGAGCCCAATCGACGAGCGACAACCTATGGCCGGCCTGAGGAGCTACATATTCCGTCTGGGGGTATGGGGGCTGCGAATTTACGGCGACAGTCTATGTCCCATGAATTTTCTACCACCGCAGATAACCACGTTCCGTCCATCAATGTCCACCCCACGAGCTCTCAGCCCAACCAATATGGCGCCGGCGGCAATAATGCGGCTCTCCCAGGCGCGCTTCAGCCAGGAAACGCCAACCGCCCCCCAGCTGTATCCCTGAATACCGCCCCGTCTGGCATTCCTACCATTTCCCAGTTGTCTACACAGTTACAGCAACAGCCGCAGCCGCAGCCGCAACACCAGCAGCCACCACCACAGCAACCGCAGCCGCCGCAGCAGCCTCCGACAACACCCCGCTCCAGCATGAACAACGCTCATGGACACTCGAGATCCAGCCCGGCAAATGCTAGATACGGGTCATCACCTGGTGCTGCGTTCCCGCCTCATACTCCACAAGGCGCGAAATACTCTCCTTTGGGGCTGGCCGACATCCGGCCGACAGGTGATCTTTTGGGTGATCCTATCACCAGCCCCGGGTCGTTACCCTTCAATGGAGACAATCAAGTGCCGTCAAATAGCAATTATATTGCACCTTGGCCGATATATGCGGTGGATTGGTGTAAATGGCCCATCCCTGGAAATTCGGGCTCCTTTGGAGGCAAGATTGCGCTTGGAAGTTATTTAGAAGATAACCACAATTATGTGCGCCTCTCCTTTCCCCATCTCCTCCCCTACAGATGACACTAACTGGGTCCAGATACAAATTATTGATACCCACTGGACTAAACCAGACCCAGATACACCGGATGCAGCAACTGGCGAGATTAAGCTGGAATATGTCAAAACAGCAGAGGCTACACATTCGTACCCCGTCACGCGAATACTGTGGGAACCGCCATCATCTCAAAAGCAGTCTACCGATCTTCTGGCGACCTCGGGCGACCATCTGCGGCTATGGTCCCTGCCTGCGAATCAGCCGGTGCAGGGTTCCAACTCGATTACACGCTTGGCGACCCAAAGGGATACGCCTTCCGCTAAACTTTCTCCGTTGGCGTTACTCTCGAACTCAAAATCTCCCGAGCATACTGCTCCCATCACCTCGCTCGACTGGAATACGATATCTCCAAGCTTGATTATTACGTCCAGCATCGACACGACTTGCACCATTTGGGATATCCCTACCCTCACTGCCAAGACGCAACTGATTGCACACGATAAAGAAGTGTATGATGTCCGATTCTGCGCAAATAGCGTCGATGTTTTTGTCAGTTGCGGTGCCGACGGTAGTGTGCGCATGTTTGATCTCCGCAGTTTAGAGCACAGCACTATCATCTACGAGCCGACAGAAAAGAGTGATAAACGTAGGTGCTAGTCACGTTACTCTTTCCCTTTCAAAACTAACAGGGATTGCGTCTGCAGTGGTCAGTCCCGGAAATGGTAGCCCCTCGGCCCCTGCATCCATATATCCTCCGCCGCTCCTTCGAATCGCAGGTACGTGAAACAGCTGGCCGGCCTGTCATACAGCAACACCATCCGATACTAACAAAGTCAGCATCACCTCATGACGCTCATCTTCTAGCCACGTTTTCTCAGGACTCCAACATTGTCCGGGTCCTAGATGTTCGTCAACCTGGCCAGGCCCTGTTAGAACTCAAGGGCCATGGCTCCTCCATCAACTGCGTAGAGTGGTCCCCCAACCGTCGTGGAGTGCTCGCATCCGGCGCAGACGACTGCTGCGTTCTTCTGTGGGACCTCATCAACCAGCACAACGCCGCGTCTGTCCCGCCCCCGGTGCACACCCCCGGTGCGCCCGCGACCACCCAGGAGCGTGGTCCTGCTGCCGCGTGGCAGTGTGATTACGAGGTCTCCAACATCAGCTGGTCACCGCAAGGCGGGACAACCGGTACAGGGCATCCGCGGGATTGGTTAGGAGTGTGCGGTGGACGGGGCATTTGGGGTGTTGCACTATGAAAGAATTGACGCATTTATTAGACCCTATTTCCCATACCTACCAGTCAGCCATTTACCCTGCTGCATTGTTCCGTGTCTTCTCCACCACGGCTGACTTGCATCGTTCGACCATGGAAGCGACATGGTACGGTCTCATATGAGTGAATGAATGAATGAACGATTGGACAGTAAGAGTATGTTTTTTCTTTGAGTTTTCTTCTAAGACAGGATAGCAGCCCCGAGGACAGGTAAACAGAGGGGTATATGTAACTACTGTGATCTAGTCTATTCCAGACAGGTGGCATGATATATACCAAGGAAGAAAAGAATTCAAAAGACACAACAGTCATCAGAGACAATATATAAACATCATAATGCGCTCGCTAAAATCAATATTGAATGAAGATCATTTCCTCGACAGACACCGAACCCGGAGAAGCAATCACTCGCGACGGGAGTTTGCACTTCCGTTCTCCTGTCCCGTCGTCTTGACCATGACCTTATCCTCCACCCACCGGGCGAACTTGACGCTCGGAATATCCACCGCGCGCCAGTAGATATCACCCGCCCACAGACATAGAGGGAGACAGATGAGCCAACCGATAAAGAAGCCCAGGCAGTACTGGAAATCGGAATCCTTGCCAATCACCGCCCAGATATTGGGCATGAGGGAGTAGCCAAGCGAGTGAAGGATAGGCCCATGCACAATGTAGAAGGCGAAAGAAATCTTGCCGAGGTATTGGGAGATGGGGTTGGTGAAGAGTTTCTGGATGTCTTTGGAATGGTTGATGCTGAAGACAATGAGAACCGCCCCGATGGTTTGAGGGAACCGATGCGGTTCGGGGTAGGTTTTTGGGGTAACGCTCCAGGTCCACATATAAAATGGGGTCCATCTGTAGCCAGTGTTGGGAGCAGAGCCGAAATAGAGACCGATAATGAAAAGCGCAATCCATAGTTTGCGATTGGATAGTCGAAAAGGGTGGTACTTCGTTGGGAAACGGACGCTCCATGGCTTTTCGCCCTCCGCTAGGCGCTCCCATGTGCCGTTGATCAGGTCTGCTTCGGCCATCAACATGCCGCTTAGGAAGAGGACAACGTCCCAGCGGCCCCAGCGCATACAGAACCAGACTAGTGTGCTGACCAGAGACATCCTGATAACCGTGGTTAAGCGGGAGGTGGCCAGGATGGTGAGGAAGAGAACGATGGAGCAACGGAATTCAACGGGGATGGTCCATAGGTGTGGATTGTAGTTATTGTAGTACAGCGCCCAATCCCATGGATTCACCAGATGTACTACTGTGGAGTACCAGTCCCAGAATTGTTTGTGAAAGGACTTCATGATGGGAGGATGTTGCTCATTGGTGCCCTGGATGGTGTGGCCTTCGTAAAGAACCCTCTGCGAATAGTCATACACACCCAATCGCACGGCCAGCATAACAATCCAGATGCCAATGACTGAGGGAATATAGAGTCGAAGGCCACGGCGGAATGTGGACGAGGCCAGCACGGTGAAAGTCTGTTCCCATGATTGACTGCGGATCATTTTCAACGGTTTGTAGGAAAGGACATATCCGGAAATCACAAAGAAGATGGCCACCATGATATGGCCGGATACTAACATATGGAGGATGGGCAGCTGGAAGAGATTGTAATTATCCCGATTGAAACCCCATCCGACCGCAACTTTCCAGGTATAAGTGAAGAGGAAATGAAAGTTGAACACGAGGAGACAGGCCCAGCCGCGCAACCCGTCCAGCGCTGCGATAGCATGTAGTTTTGAGGATTCGGGCGGTTGGCCGCCGACTAAATGCTGCAGGTAACTAGGAGTAATGGCGATCGCAAGTTTATCCAGAAATGATTCCAAACATGCTTGCCAATTGTTGGTGAGGGCATGGACACGACTTGAGGGATCGGAAATGATGTGCGACGGCGTGAAATCGGTGATATTGGTCCATTTCGTGGATTCTTGGGAGTCGCGATTGGCTCCAGACTCTAGATCATTCAGGGGAATGTTGTCTGTCGCGGGGGAAGATCGGAGATCCTGATCCCGACCGTTAAATGCCATCGCAGCGACGAGGGGAATGAGGAATGTGGTTGAGGCGCAACTCCCTTCCTTCTCAATATTAAATAAATGAATCTCCGGATTAAATGCGGAAGGTGATTGCGTAACCACCAGTGTGGACCGCAAGCGGCATGCAAGAAGTTCTTTTCCGTTCCAACGTGGCCTTGCGGAGGGATCGACATCCACCCAGTCTGAGGTGATCTGATTGATTGATTTCGCCTCAATGAAGTGAGAGGGAATCCCTTACTTCGAGAGGAAGAAGCAATTTGGGGTACATACAGTCTAGGCAAGATTTGGCGGCGGGGATGTGAACTATAGCTATAGATATAGATATAGATATAGATGTAGATGTAGATGTAGGTATAGATATAGATAGTTATGTATACTTAGATATCCACTTTGTATATAAGCCAAGAAATATTAATTCAAATTGAAAAAGAAAGACAGAACGGGATAAGGAAAACGAAAAGGAAGGACTCAGTGATTGATTCGTAAACGAATGAAGAAAAGAAGTAAACGCGAAAGAGAGAAAGAGAAAGAGAAAGAGAAAGAGAAAGAGAAAGAGAAAAAGGAAAGGAAAAGGAAAAGGGGAATTGCTTTAATTAAGAACACATGGCAGGATAGAGAAGAGATTAAGAGATTAGATACAGAGGTACTGTAATTTCTTGACCATGGAGAAAAAGGAAAAAAAAAAAAAAAAAGAAAGAAAGGGATCCAGATTGATCGATTGTATGGAAATTATAAGACTTCCACATATCAAAATCCAAATTATTTATAGTAATAGAGAATGACACAGAAACTCAGATTAGGTTGATAGATAAATTACCTCATTATCTATTGGAATTTTCTATCTAGTAATCTTCTACCTTTTTTCTGATTTATAAATTATAAAATATGATTTATTGAGCTAGTATAGCAGTTCATAGTCGAGGAACCGTCCAATCACGACTGCCGCATCCCGCGACTTAAACCAACTTTCCATAAGATATTCTTTTTCTCCTTCTCTCTCTCTCTCTCTCTTCTTTCTTTTTCTTCCTTTCCCTCACGTCGCTCTTCTGCATTTTCTGCAACAACCTCCATTCAGTTGAGTCGATTCCATGCGGTGACACCGTCTTCTCACCCCTTACTCTTTTTTCTCGCCAAAGAGCCACTTCTACCCCGGTTAATTCGGGGTGTTGTGGAAGGGGGTCGCAAGCTCCCGAAGCTCCATCAAGCTACGTAAGTTAGTTTTAACGAAGAATACTTCTTCCTCCTCCTCCTCCTCCTCCTCCTCCTCCACCACCACCCAAGATCGCGATCGACTCGACCAACAAAATTCCTTCGCCGTCATGGATTTGCGCACGATTATGAACAACGATGCCTCGGCAACGTCGGACGCTCCATCGACTGCTCCTCTCCAGTCTCCGTCGCAAGTGTCGCGTAAGCCTTCGGATCCCATGTATGCTCCCCGCGACCAACAACGGACCTCCTCCTATCCATCTGCCTATTCGAGTCATCCCCCTCAGCCTCCACCCCTACAACGTCCTCATGCCTCCCCAGAACGTTCTTCCTCCTATGGATCGCTCCAATCGCCCTATCAATACCATCCTCCCTCCGCACAGAGTGCAGGCGCACAATCTCAGCGCGGCCCGAGTCCTCCCCCCTATGGTTCCTCCGCCTCGCGTGACTCGTTCTCTTCTACCTATGGCCATCCCCAACAGCAACACCAACAGCAGCAGCAGTCGCCATTCGCACAGCAGCGTTCGCAATCCATCCAGTCTGTTCTGACCCCCTCATCCACCTCCACCTACTCATTCCATCCCAGGGAAAGCCCGCCAGCGGTTGCTTCACAGCCTTACCCGTCGCAGCAATTCTCCCCTCCAGCCCAAGGATCGGTACCAAATACTCCGCGAGGCTCTGTTGCTGCATCTCACACCCGTCAAACGCCCCCATCTGCGCGCCCCCAATCCTCCGGTCATGAATCCTTATCAAATCGTGCCTCAAGCCCGTGGGTTGGTCCGGATGCTCAGGTTCATATGTCGCCAACAGCGATGTCTCGTGTCTCGCGACAGGATTCAAGACCGCTAGAACAAACCCCGCGGCAAAATTCTTCGGCGACTGACAGAAGGGACTCGGATGAGAGTGTTAGTCCGAAAACCGCTTTTCCTTCTGGGTCTCGGCAAGGGAGCACGGCCGGATACACCGACCTAGCGTCCTCTTCTCAACCGAAGCCCACCGAAAATGGTATCTCCTTGAAGGAGAACCCGCTCAACCTCCAAACCTCCCAGCCTGCCCCAGCAGTCTCAAACTTTGACAGCTCACCGCCCGCGCGAAAGTCTCTGACAGACGATACCTCCGCGATCGATCAAGCCCGTTCGTTGCCCACAAAGATGGATCTGACTCCGGATGCAAGGGCCAATTCAAGTCCGCAAGCACCCAGAGTGAAGAGGAGGCGTTATGAAGAACCGCCAATCTATGCTCAAAGATCGGTACGCACCAAAGGGAGGATTCCGATGATCCCGAACCGTTGTCCACCGATCCCGAAGCATGCGAGAGATTCAACGCAAAATCCTTTCGTGATGCGCCAACAAAACGTTTCAGCCCAGGCTTCCGCTGCAGATTCTCCGGTCAAACCCAAAAGCGAGACACCACCCACTAATGGCCCTTCGGCCCCCCGGCGACCTCCAGAGCCTGCTCAGGCAGGAAGCTTAGGACCATGGGAACCCTCTATCTATGGGTACATCCCCCACGAGGAGGTTACAAAAACGGTCTGCGATTTCTTGTTCCAGCATGTGGTTCTAAGGAACGATGCGACCGCGGCTCCTGCTGGTACGGCGGCAGCCGGCCAGGGAGCAATGATCGAGGTTGAAGCCAAGCTGGGACAGCTCGTTGACATGGACAGGGGTGAGAGACTTCTCTTGCCTATCTCGACCGAAGGTATTGTGAATAAGGAAAACACTCGCTTGCGAACTGCGTTCGAGAGCACAATGACAATTGTAAGTAAAAAAAAAAAAAAATCTTTTTTTTCCGGCCCTCATGCCCCAAACGGGAGTCACTCGCTTCAGTTGAGATTATATTCAATGATTGATTGACCGCTGGGTAGGCACAACATCGGGCAATGAATAACTTCCTGAACGAAGCCGTGAAGATGTCCATGCCGCAAGCTAACCCAGGACGCATTCCACTATCTTACGCACACAAGAAGGAGCGAGATACCTTTTACGAAATATCACCATCAGAGCTTCCACCTGTCATTCGACAGAATCTTAACCCTCGCCACAAACCAAAAGTGCGAGTAACTTTAGACCAACGAACGGGTGAGGTCCTCGCAAAGATTGTGAAATGCCGAATTGCCGACCTTGATGTCTACAGCCCTCGCACATGTGTCGATTGGCGAATTAGCGTCAACCTGGAAATGAGCTACGAGGGCGATGTTAGCCACCTCACCGTGGTAGATCCCGGTCGTGGACGCGGCGGAGATCGAAACAAGGATCGTATGAGCTATCGACATCTGGCATACCAGATCGACCTTACACAAGTGGCCAAATCAGAAGTAAGTCGCTTACTTTTCCCCCCGTTCTCACTGGGGGACCAGCTACCTACTAGTTGTTTGATTTGAAAGACACGTTTCTGACTTAACATGTGCTATATAGCCATCATCCAAAGGTGAATTCGAGCATGAACTCGAAGTTGAAATCTCCGCCGATGAGATCCGCCGTCAGGGTCAGCTCGCCATGGCTGGCGACCCTAAGAACCAATACGAGGAGCTTGTCAAGGGGTTTGTGGATAATATTCGCATCCTGGCACGAGCAGTGCCTCCTTAAATCCATTCAATGCCCCTTAGAATTGTTGTTGATCGGGTTTGCATCGCACACTACGCCGTGGAATGTTTTTTTTTTTTTTCTCTCCCTCTTACATAATATAGAACGACGACGGCCCTGAAGATCCTAAAGGAGAACAAATGGATCTACGAGAGCTGCATATGGAAAAGAAAAGTCAAAGTTTATATGTTACATTCTCTGCCGGATTGGTTTACTTTACACCCATATGTTTTAATAACCCTCTACACATATCCTTCTCATGGAAAGAGATGATGAATGATGCGTCACGCCCTTTGTTTTCTCTCCGCCAGCTTTTTTCTCTCCATACCTTTTTCACTTTTTCGTTCTTTCCTTCTCCCTCCTCCCCGTCCATCTTTCTTGATCTACATCCAGCTGTTCAGAGTACAAATGGATTTCTCATGGTTAGGAACATGATTTTCCATTTCTCTCCCCCATCACCTCACCCATTCTTGTGACATTATTTACGACTTGTATAATCTACTTGAATACAGTGCCTTGTATCAAACAGAGGGTTTGTTAATATATATATATTATGACCAAATCCACAGCTAACTCTAAAGCCTGAATGGGATACAACAGTTGATATTTGAATATTTTGATGTCATGATACAATGAATGATACACTTTCACAGAACAAAGTTGACCAATTAACCATGCCTGTATTGTCTTATAAGAACATAAAAGATATGAATGTAAGGATCAATGAGATAAATGACTACGCCAGGTTGCCCCTCCCCGCTTGAACTTTCCCCCTTTATTTATGCACCGCAATAAATGATATTAAGGACTAGGCGTTCCTTCCTCGTACCGTGGTCCTGCATCGTCGCCGTCTCCGCCCATCGCTGGTGTAGGAGCGTCATATGGACGACTGTCCCAGGCAGCGGGTGTAGGCGCGTCGTACGGCTTCTTGGACGGGCCGCCGGGGGTAGGGGCGTTGAATGCTCCTGGCGTCGGGGCACTGTCAGCCCAGGCTCCAGGTGTAGGCGCTGAGACACCCGGGGTCGGAGCGCTGCCGTATGCGCCTGGGGTGGGTGCAGAATAGGCTCCGCCTGGAGTTGGGGCGTCGTAGCCACGGGAATCTTTGCTGCCGTTGCTTGCCGTAGCTCCTGAGGACCAGGCTGGGGTGCGACTGCCGGAGTTTGCGTTCCAGGCTGGGGTCCTGGAGCCTGCCGCGAAGGCGTCGAAGTCACTCTGTCCGGAGCCAGAACCGGAGCCGCCGTAAGGAGTCCGGGCGCCAGCGTTCCAGGCCGGTGTGCGTGAGCCAAACCCGCCATATGCGGTGCGGCTTCCATCGTAGGGGTTCGATGTACGGGATCCATCGTTCTTCCATGCTGGTGTGCGAGAACCGCCCATACCAGACCAAGCAGGGGCTGAATCGCTTTGTTAGTATCGTAGACCAAAGACGTGAAACATGGAAAGACTTACTCCTTGCGGAAGATGCGCCGCCCCAGGCGGGGGTCCTGGATGAATCTGCAGCTGCCATCGGTGTCCGGCCACCCTGCCAGCCCGATGGTGGAGCTGCTGAAGGGACGCGTGGTCCTCCTCTGCCGCGGCCCATTTCGATTGTTTGGCCCGTTATGGGGTCCTTGACCACGAGGAGCTCCTTGGGGATCGACACTAGCTTGTTCTTGGAATGGAGCTCCACACGTGCCTGCACGTCTCCCGCATCTTTGACAATACCCACAAGACCTTTGAAGGGCCCCTTTCGGACCATGACTGTCTTTCCGATCATCCTGTCGCGGCCGAAGCTCTTCGGGGGACCCATCATACCGCCGGGTGCGCCACGACTCATCAGAGCCGGGTTCATCTTAGTAAGATCAGGGCCCGTAGACCGGCCTCCCTTGGCTGATACTGTTACAACGTTGGTCGTACGTACGACAGTAATACCGGAGTTCTCAGCCTGAGCCTTGTTATGCAAGAACAGGAATGAACGGTGAATGTGAAGGATCACTCCATTCCTCTGTTCACCATACACTTCGCGAACAGTATCTCCATGTCGAATCTCTGCACCATTCCGATCCGTAGCTACCGCATCCCGACGCGGTGTGATCTTGTTTGTTACTTGAGTAGGCAGGATAGTGCGAATCGAACCATTTTGATCCAAAACCCGCAAGGACTCTCGATCAACCTTGACAATACAAGCAACGGTAGCAGCGCTATTGAGCAGTTAAGTAAAAGAACAAGCAATAAGTATAGGGCCGGGTAACTCACTCTAGCTGCACGAGATCATGTACGTCGAACATTCCAAGCTTTCCGTCAACACCTGTCTCGGCAGACAGCCGAAGATCCTTGCTGAAAACAGTGATCTCCTGCATGCTCATATCGCTAAGTAATGTTACGGTGTCGTCCTTAACTTGGACCACCATACCCAGTTCATCTTGATATCTGCTACCACCAATGACCTTGACATGATCACCCTCCCTGAAACGTTTACGGAGAGATTTAACAGGGGCATCAATGTGTTGTCCTGCAAGGTCACCTTCGGTAACTTGCAGAGTAACGATATCACCGCGAGTAGAAGTAGTTCGGCCGATCAAGCCCTGCTGTTCACCACGGAAAACTTCAACTGGATCCCCTGGGAGGTAAGAGTCTTCAGCCGTGGAGTTCTTGAGTGTTTCCGCGAGAGACGCAAGATCTAAATTGGCAGTGCCGTCCTCTGAGCCTCGAGCAAACATGGTAACCTCCTCGAGCCGCGGGCTCACATTCTTAGTGATCAAATGTTGTACCTTCATGTCTTTGATTAAGAAACCGTCGATGTAGGTCTCTCCGAGGTAGCTCCAAGATTTTCCACCCAATCCAGATGTGGCAGAAAGGTACTTTCCGTGTTTCTTTTTAGCTTCAGCTTCACTGAACAAACGTTGAGGCGGCCGGGCCACCGCGGGATTCATGCCAGGACGCTTCCTCTTGGGATCCATAAAAGGCGCGCCGGTGTCCTCGTTCAAGCCATAATCCAAACGCGGAACCAAGCGAACGGTCACAGCGAGACCATTGGTTTCAACTTCTTCAATCTGGGCCAGATCGTTTTGGTATTTGCCACGTTTAATACGAACCCAGCCACCGGGCAAGAGTTCTTCGGATTTTTGAACACGCAGAAGGTCCGGCATTTCTCGCACAGGGACTAGAATCATCTTCGTCCGTGGGTAGACGTTGGACATATCTTGCAGTGCATCCATGACGTCCGCTTGCCTGCGTGCTTCAACATAGATGTACCCACTCATAGCCCCTCCACGCTCAAAGGCAGATATGATCTTCATAGGGTTGCGAGAGCCCATGGGTCGCTCTTCCATACGTTTCTGGATGGCGAAAATAACCTCCCGTTCTTTGCCGGGCTTACAACGGACACCCCAGATGCTAGGATCCTCGACACTAGGAAGTAATAACCGCTTCGGTACGACGACTGCGTCGGAAGCTGCAGCACGGTTCCGTCCGTAACGTTCTTTGAGCAACTGCGCCTGCTTCTCGGCGTCCATGCTGGCCTCAAGCTCGCGCTGGCGATCGAGCTGTCGGTGGCGACGGTCGTCAGTCTCAGCGCCGACAGGGAGCGCATCCATATCATCTGGGTGCATTTCCCCGCCAAGCTCGGCCATTTCGTCCTCTTCGTCCTCGGCCTCATCTTCATCTTCATCGACGCCGGCCTCTTCTTCGAAGAAAGTGTGCACGCCTCCTTTCCTTCTGCGCTTTTTGGGTCGCTATTAAGACGAAGCAGATCAGCATTGACCACGATGGAATCAGAAGCAGCTCAAATGGTGGTAGCACTCACAGACACGGCATCCTCTTCATCTTCATCTTCCTCTTCCTCGTCATCATCATCATCGTTCTCGTCTTCTTCCTCGTCATCGTGGCCATCGGCATCTTCGTTATCCTCTGCCTCTTCGCTACCAACTCGACGTTCCGCCCGTCGTGAAGGCTTTACGTCTTCTTCATCGTCATCATCGTCCCGGTCTTGATGCGTCGGCTATAACCCCCGTACGTGTTAGCATCACCAGCCACTATCATCTAACGTATCTGTAGGACTGACTCTGGCATCTTCATTATCTGAATCGTATGTGGGAGCGGGGTTGAAGTCATCGTCTTCTTCTTCAGAACCGAAGTCTTGATCCAGCATGTTTCGTGACATATTGCGTGGATTGCTGGCAAAGTCACTTCGAACTGGGGCTTGGTTCGGAGTAAATTCGGACTCAGTGATCGAAATACGAGTCGCAGGAGGGCCGTATAACGATTATGGACGACCTATTGACGAGAAGGAAGTCACTATTAGATCACTTTGAGCTTTCCAGCATACAGTTCGGGAGAGTCGAGATCGCGGATAAGCAAGGCGTAGAAAACCAAACAGAACACCGTCGAGGTAGTAAGATGAGACGAAAGGGCGCAATACCTATTATGTAATCGGGATAGGGAATCGCTGAGGCTTACGATTCACAAAGAAGCCCTGGACAGAAAATGGGTATAAAACAGCCTTGCTGTTGCTTCGGCCAGCCAGGCGGGCGGCGTTATCCTTCGCCGAGTCCGCGATCGCGGCACGTAAGTCAATCGGAAGTGAGAGGGCGAGAAAAAACCGATGAAACTGCCCACACCAGACGACAATAAGATGAAGCCCACCAGAGTAGCAAGCCGTAGCAAAGGGAGTGGGAGGTGGCGCAAGATCAGTGGTCTTTATAAGACTCGTCGGAGGCTTGTTGAAGACAAATCCATAGGTTGCGCAACTGGCTCAACTGCGGCGACGGATTTCTTTCCTAGTGCTCCCATTGAGCCAATGAGCGTCATTCGCTCTAGATCTCATTCCTACTAAAGTAGTAGGAGTAGCTACTATAGTCTCTGATTCACTATCTCCATGGTTATTTTCTTTTTATTCAATATGATCGTTATAGTCTCTTTAGGCATTTGCCACAGGCTGCAGAGGCAAAACCTACAGTCACCCTTAGATATGACTGCTCAAGTTGCAAGCGTTAATACTGAGCGAGATCTATATATTGTGCTTACAACAGGCCCATGCATATATGATCAAATGCCTGTGTACTGGAAAGACCATTTCCAGACTCTCCCGTGTCAAATCAATATGAATAATGGTTGAGAAGTACGTTCAAAGGTATTTTACTCGCTAAACCTATTCCATAGGCCGGCCTTGTGCACTGGAGGCTAATCCTAGTATTAGACCTTTTGGATCATGCTGGGTGACTAATCTATGCCATCGTGTATTTCTTTTCACTCCTGGCTGCTCTGGTTGTTAATCAAACACGCAGATGCCGTCTTAAGTTCATCTTGCATATTTCTTTCCAACAGAGATAGGGACTCTCCGCCAGTTATGCCGCGACTTTATACGTGTTCGCTCTAATAACTAAGAAAACGTTATATTCGATTAAGGACAAACGAACGATTCTCGTGTCAAAAACCCCCAAGATTACACTAGAACTAGATCTGAAAGTATTTCAAAGCTAGGCGGCCGCTTATGCTCTAGGTGGTATCATTTTATTCTTTGAGGACATGGTCCAAGCAACATATAGTACAGTGAATTGAGCCTAGGAGGCCACTAAACTGCCAGGTGAGCGGGATATGAAAAGCTCTATATACCCAAAACCAAAGTCATATCCAAACAACGTTAAGGACAAAGAGGGGGAATAAATATGGGAAGGAAAAAACCTGAGTGCGCTCATTTACAACTTCATGCCAAACATCTTGTGCACACGGAGACTCTGGCGCATACTCAGGTCCAGCATGATCTCCTCACTTCCACCAGGGATAGCGTAGGCACGAACATCACGGTATAGCCGCTCCACCTTACCACCCTGGCCGCCGCGGCTGTAGCTCAGACCACCAAAGATCTGACTGGCTTCACGAGCGCAGAACTCGAAGGTGGTCGTCGACTGAGCCTTGAGACTTGCGATTGCACCGCCCAGCTTGAGCATTGCTTCAGTCTCGTCCATGGACTGGCATTGGTAGATGATGTTTTCCAGCCAGTTGTATGTCGCTTCAATCTGACGGGCCATGTGTGCGAGCTTCATACGGATAACAGGGTGGTCGATGAGCCTCTTGCCGAACGTCTTACGCTTGTGGGCATATTTCACCGCTTCCTCGTAGCACACACGAGCGAACCGACAGCACTGGATGACGATTCCAATGCGCTCGTGGTTAAAGTTGGTCATGATGACTACACAATCGGTTAGTTGCTGTGAAAAGAGAAGCAAGAGCGCTAGAGGGCTTACCCTTGAAGCCCTGGTTTTCCTTTCCAATGAGGTTCTCTACCGGCACCTTCACATCCTCGAAGGTGACATAAGTCGTGCCGCTGCTCCAGACACCCTGGCAGTCCATGCGTCTCGTGCTGACTCCACCGTGCTCTCTCTCAATGAGAAGGACACTAAGGCCATTCATACCAGGCCCGCCCGTGCGAACAGCGGTAGTGAAGTAATCGGCATAGACACCGTTGGTAATCCACTTCTTCTCACCGTTGACAATGTAGTGCTTGCCATCGGGGGTGAGTTTAGCCTCGCAGGTAAGGTTGGCAACATCGCTTCCAGCATCTGGCTCGGTAATAGCAAGACAGATACGCTTATCGCCATTCAAAATACCAGGGAGGATCCTGTCAACCAGAGGCTTCTTGCCATATTTGACTAGTGGAGGGCAGCCGATACCGTAGCCACCGATCAAATTCCAGACTAAACCACCACTACCGGCGCGGGACAGCTCGTCGGTAAGGAGCAGCTCGTGGAACAAGTCCCAGTTTTCAGGAGCGACAGACTGCACACGGTTCTTTGTGTGGTTGACGGGGAATTTGCCACCCAATATTCCTGCAAGGTATCCCCGTTCACCCATCTGCTTGTAAATACGATCGGGAACACTTTTGGCCTCATCCCATTCGGTCACATAGGGCTCAATTTCAGACTCAACCCATTGGCGAACTTCTGCGCGAAGGGCTGCGTGAGTCTGATTAAAGTATGGAGAGGAGTACTGTCGGGGAATCGTTGGTTAACCTGTAGTCTCCCGGATGGTGTGTCACAGGCAAACTTACACCTTGATACCATGAGGGATCGGCGAAGGGAATCAAGTCACCATAAGGGTCTTGAGGCTCAGACGGCTTGGTCGATACAACGTCCACTGGAGCTGCCGGCTGAGGCTTGGGGGTTTCCTTGGCTGCTGCTGGTTCCGGTGCCGGTGCATCTGCGGCTTTTGTGTTCAAGGAACCAACCTGCAGCTTGCTTTTGTACTTCTTGAGAATTCCTTCGTTGTGATACTTCCAGAACTGCTTCGAAGCATCCTTTCCTCCGACTCGCGACAAAACTAGAGGTGCATAGTCAGCATCGGCACTTCCACCGATGGGTAGTAGACATCATGACGTACTTTTTTTTCCACCTATGCAAAGTGACGTTAGCATACATGTGACGATCCACGAACCTGTTCAAACATACCAGGGTGCTCGTCCTGAAATTTAGTCAGGTCATACACATCTTCATCGATAACAACCCAGAGGTTATCTGGCTTGTTATGCGATGCGACGTCTTCCTTTGAAAAGGTTTTGGACATGATCGTGGTAGAAATGAAACAAACAATATCGAAGCAGAAGAAGTATACGAGTGAGTGAGGGATTATGAGCTCTCGAGGGTCAGAAGGGTGTGCAGCGACGACACGATGCTCGAGTATTCGGCACTAAAACACAGAGTAATATGGAGAAGTGAATCCGGGGTAAGACTGAGGGAAGAGGGTGGATAGATATATGGATGACACGGAGGTCTCCGTCACGGGGAACTGTCGTAAGAACCAGTTGGGATAAAGGAAAATAAGCAGTGGAGGTAAGGCACTCGGACAAAAGCCTAAAATGTCCAGAGATCAACGCACAAGCGCCCTCGGTAGCCAGCGAAATGTCTAGATAGCAGGTGGTCACTTTTTTTTTTCTTTTTCTAGGCAATTCACTGGCACTGCGCAGATGCGGGAGGCCTTTTCACATGCCCGATCAGTAGTAGACCAGCGTCCCGTCCAATCAGGGTCATCGATTGTTCACCTCGGTCAGGCCCGCCGCTGAGGTAAACATTCTGCAGGTCATTTGCTGGCCTGTTAGTCTTTCGTTGATTGGCCCATCGGTGTCTTACTGCGTCATGTTCAGGCCGTCCACATCGGGCAAGTGCCGAGGCTGCCGAGAGATTAGCCACGTGACGTCAATCTGCCCCAGATACTTGGAGATTCTTTACATTTACTCCGTACAAACGTTGGGAAACTAATCAGAAATGGGACCTCGACATGTGAAACCATGGGATCAGGCAAATCTCAACTCCACCAGCCCCTGTCCATCGTAGTATTGTTAATATGTGCCGTATCTCCGTGATTTGTTGCCGATGCTAGGATAGAGATACTCCGTGCCTCCTACACTGCTAAATGGCCGTGCTCCCGGCGATTTACTACAAAGGGTATAGTGTCTCTCGATAATAGTTGTACTCCGTCTGTCGCAGTATATACTCCCTAGAGTATAGTCTATACTCCGTACTACTACGGAGTACTCTCCTTGAACTCAGACCTGCTATTCCACTCTGCATTTTGTACTCTGACGGGCTGCAAAGGTGGAAGAATTGATATTGCCCCGGCTCATATTGTCAACTTCATCAATGACTGCGACATAATAGCGTATTGTACGGTATACAACAACTGTTTACGTGTCCGAGCTCTAGGGCCGGGGCTGCCTCTGTATAGCCTAGACAATAGTATGTACATACAAGATCTAGGGCAAAAGGTCATGTCAGATACCGGACTATCAGTCGAATCAAGTCAGCTAGCGAGGTTCAGTACCAAGTAGTACTTGTTAAGAGAATCCCGCGTGTTCTTGCGCCTCGAGGCATGGACAAAGATATATAAACCAGGTGATCTGTTGCCGTAGCGCCGTCATCGAATCCCGTGATACATCCGTAACTAGCAGGGGGTAAACAAGCCCGATAGTCACCTTAACAGCGGCTTGCTTCTCCCCACGAAACGGCATCTGACTTTGACCGCCCCAAATACAGCTATAGAGCTAATGAACTCGTGGAAAGATGTCCTCACCACGTATCTACAATATATATCTGCACGGTCACCCTTTCACAGGTTCAGGTTCAAGTGTCGAATGTAGATAAACTACCGGATTCGGACTCGGATTTATTCTCATCCCGCCCGAGCCAATTAGGGTTTCTGGGGCAGCGGGTGCCGCCGCGTCGCCATTCAGGCAGTTCTGTGGGTTGCGGACAGTCTAACCAACATCTCTGATGTTTGTTGTCCTCGAAGAGAAAGCTTTGGATGATAAGAATAGGAAATATGTTTATCCGGGCACGACTCTATTGACAAGCCAAGGCCTGGAGACCTCACCGATCCTTATCAACTGATGAATACTCCTTTGGTCGTCTCGTCATTATCGTCGATTTCCCTATTTCAGTACTGCAGGTCGAGCATTCCGTTAGGTCGCCACATTTTTGGCAGGACAGCGCATTTCCGTTGGGTCTCTCCTACGACCCCGCATCGCCATGCCTCCCTTACTAACTAATCGGCAAGCCGAGGAGCTGTGAGTATGCCCCATGCGAACTAGTCACTGGCGAAAGCTAAATTCGCGTATAGGCACAAGTCAATGATAGCGTACCTCGTGGCGAGCGACCTCCCAGATACCGCGGCGGCACTCAGAAGAGAAGTGAACCTCAGCGAAGATGTGTTTGATCCAACTACAGCGAAAAGGTACGAAGGAATGCTGGAGAAAAAATGGACAAGCATTGCCCGCTTGCAGAAAAAGGCATGTCTGCGCTTCAGATCCTCTCCTCCGTCCACCGTATTAATCACTAGCGGCGCGGTGACATCTAATCTTCCTTTCACGACAGATAATGGATCTTGAATCGAGAAATGCGACGCTTCAATCCGAACTCGATAACTCAACACCTGCCTCCCGCTTAAAGCGCAACCAAGATCCAGCCTCTTGGCTTCCGAGTACAGTTCGCTATTCACTAGAATCGCACCGAGATAAAGTAAATTGTGTTGCCTTCCATCCGACATTTTCCTCCATTGCCTCCGGCTCCGACGATTGCACGATAAAGATATGGGACTGGGAACTCGGAGAGCTTGAGCGGACGCTTAAGGGCCATACAAGGGCAGTCCGGGACGTTGATTACGGCGGGCCGCGGGATAATGTCCTTCTGGCTTCCTGCAGCTCCGACCTGTCTATTAAGCTATGGAAACCGACAGACAATTATAAGAATATCCGGACGCTGCAAGGTCATGATCACATCGTCAGCGCGGTTCGTTTTATACCATCTAGGAACCTGCTGGTGAGCGCAAGCAGAGACAACGATATGAGAATCTGGGATGTCACAACCGGGTATTGTGTGAAGACAATAAACGGTCATACCGACTGGGTGCGGGATGTTAGTATCTCGTTTGACGGGAGGTTTCTTTTCTCCACGGGACAAGATATGACCGCGCGCTTATGGGATATCTCTACTGTATCGAATATAGAACATAAACGAACGATGCTTGGTCACGAGAATTTCATTGAATGCTGCGCTTTTGCCCCGCCTACGTCATACCAGTTTCTTGCGCCCTTGGCCGGACTAGGGAAACGTCCTTCTTCTACAAACGGGGCTGATTTCATGGCGACCGGGTCACGAGACAACACTATTAAGATATGGGACAGCCGCGGGACGTGTCTCATGACGTTAGTGGGCCATGATAGCTGGGTTCAGGCGCTGGTGTTCCACCCGGCAGGAAAATATCTCTTATCCGTATCGGACGACAAGACATTAAGATGCTGGGATTTGAACCAACAAGGAAAGTGCGTGAAGACACTCGACGCCCACGAAAGCTTCGTCACCTCCCTGCGATGGGCTCCAGGAGTGGCCAAGAATGTACCCGGCGGAGACGGCGCAGCGGAGGGAGAAGGAAACGACAAGAACGGGGCTGCTAGTGAAAATCCCGCCAATGTCCAGATGCGCTGCGTGATCGCGACAGGGGGTTGGGACCAGAAATTAAAGATCTTTGCGGGCTGAGGTCGCGAAAGAAATCATCATCGGGGAAGGATAGGAACGGTGCTTTGTATGGGGCTTCCTATAACCTATGCAAAAACGGTCATAGAGCCAAGCTACACTCCTACAGCGATGTAACCACGATTCTTCTCTGCCACACACCCCCCTTCCTGTGTGTCTCTTGAGCCGATTCCCTGAGTTTCATGCGCCACGGGCTGGCGTATACCCATAGCGTTCCTCGTCGCTGTGGTGGTCGCTATTAGTGCGACAGAGAGAAGCTTGGATTGCCAGGACGAATCGGACAATAGCGACGACAGTGATAGTTGAGTAGTAATTTGTCCGATGAAAGCAACCTTTTGAGGCTCATGTGATCTTCCCAGAAAGTGCCAGTTCGCTCTGTATATATTTATCAAGTAAAATCATATATAGTCTGGCTGAACACTGTCTGGACTCGTTAGAACTACTAGCATTGGAGTTACTAATCGAGTCCATTTGTCATACGACATCAATGAAGGTCGATCAAAGATGAGATGCTTTCGTCAAGTTGTTCAGTTTACATTTTAGCAATGCGAGGTGCATACTAGTATCGGATAATTTTACTTGCATGTGCTACATCCAGTTCGCCCTGCCTAATGGGACGTACTGTTCGGACATTCTCATGAATTAGTCACCTCTCAAGCTTCAACCATTTACACATCTACAAGTCTTCTGTAGACTAGATACTAATAAGTGGATAGCTTCGGTCGGAAGATAAAATGCGACATAACCGTCCAATGCTATGTATTCCACCGGCCCCACATAAAAAACGCATGCGCAAGTAGATATTCAAGAACGTCAGGCAGCAATACTGCTGTCACTTCAATAAGACATAGATCCATAATTAATCTAGAAATACAACTAGTGCTAAGATCGCGGATGTGACCACCCGCTTAGTCCTCGTCACCGTCGGTTTCATATTCAAACTCCTCGGGGACGGGGGCCTCCTCGTCATCCTCATCATCCTCATCGACAGCTGTCAAGACACCCGCAGCAGCAGCGGCTCCTGTGGCTGCCTCAGCCAAGCGGCTCGAGCCCCGTTGAGGGGTCTGGAGGGCTGCCGCGCCCATGGCGGCCTGCAGTCGGTCTTGGAGAGTCTCTGCCGCCGCCGCAGGTTGCCTGACCTCCTTACTTGCTTTCATTTCAATGGTCTCCCGTGGCTCTTCTGGTTTCTTATCCAGCACAACAACCACTCCACCGGTAGGCTATTGTAGCACAGTTAGCATATCTGATCAATCTAGACACAATGACTACATGTAGGAGATACGTACCCGTTTGACCGGCTCGTACCGCGGATCAGGGAATGTGAGGTACTTCAGTTGAGCGGGGAGGACTCTTGACATGTTCTCGAGCTCATATCCAACCCGTTCCCGTTCCACCTTCTTTCTTTGACCCTCTCCGGACTCCTTCTCTCCTTCCTTAGTGTCGTCCTCGGCCTTGGTGGTAGTGTCGTCCGTTTCCATTCTATCCGGCATTTGATCCGAAACCTTAGGGGTGGTAGGTGTCTGATCGATATCCATACTCTCTCTTCGTTGCAGCTTCTCACGACGCTGTGCACGACGCTTAGCCTGGGCGGTGGTGGACAACACGGCAGTTTTGACTTTCTCGGGCGCTTCCTCCGTTTTGACCTGTTGCTCGGGAGGATAGTCAAACAGGCTCGGCCGAGTATTACTGTGAAACTTGAAGAACGGTACTTCAAGCTTCTGGTCCACGCCGATCACGGAAGTGGGGGCGAAGCTGAGCGACAAGAAATGGGTAAGAGGGAACCAGTACCAGTATTGAGTAAATACAGCAGCACCGACAATTCCAGGCATGTTGAGGTTGCCAGTCTGCGTCTGCAGGCTGATAGTACAATTCCGGCCACCAGCATCTATAATACCCAGAGCGACGGCGCAACCAAACTTAGCCATGGCATCTTCATGTCTATCTCCAATCATCTTCATCATGGCCTTGCGAAGGGTGCTGACTCGCGGGTTCATGGCCTCATTCTGCTGCACCAGCACCATGGCCAGAGAGATCAGAGCTCCTTGTCTCACAAAGTCCGTGGAGTCCTTGAGCATCGGCTCGAGCAGGTCAATGGCCTCATCCAAGCCCGTTCCAGCACATGAGATACCGAGTGCCATTGCGGCACCATAGCGGACGTGAGGATTGTAGGACTCCGAAAGGAGCTCAACCATACGAGGCACGCTTTGGTACTTTCTGAATAGGATAAAACCCAAGCTCAGGACTGCAATACGTCGCACATCATCGTTGACGTCACTAACGGCAACGTGGAGGAGCTTACGGACAGCCTTGTTGCTACTGCTGCCGCAATAGGCGAGAGCAATGGTCATGATACCACCGTAGCGGAGAGTGGGATCAGGATCGCCCAAAAGGCCATTGATCAGCTCATCAGCAGCCTCTTGGCGGGAGTACATGATCAGAGCCATACCCATAGCCAGACCGCGAACGATCTTCTCGTGTTGTGTCTCATGGGCATACTGAATCATATCCTCTAGAGCTCTCATGTTACCTGTTCCCAGCATGACCAAACCCATGGCCAAACCAACAGCTTCACCGTTGATGGCTGAATCAGAATACAGGACGGTTCGCAAATCTTCGTAGATACCTTCATCACCAGTTGCCATGCCTGCAACACCTAGACCTAAAGCTCCACCATGCTGAACAACCTCCTCAGTCGCCTTCTTGAAGTGGTCGCGGATAAGGTCAACAGCCATACCGCCATGGTTAGCATATATCAAACCAAAGGCGTACAACGAGCCTCCTTGGCTGTAGACTGAGCCTGATCCTCCAACACCGGCAATATGTTCCCTTGGAAGGTACGGCTGCAGGAGCTTCTGGCCCTGGCTCAAGTTACCACGATGAATGACACCAAGAGCAGCCGTAGCTGTGAACTTGGACCAGTTGACAGCTTTTCCTAACCATTCAAGGTTGTCCCGGAAAAACTTGTCGTGTGTGGTACCCGCATGCATGAAAGCATTGGAGAGTGTGACAGCGGTGTGGAAGATAGAATTCCGAGCTTCCAAGCTATCCCGAACTTTGTTAAGGATAGCGATATCAGCCTTGTTGCTTCGGTACAGAAACTCCAAGTTTAGTTGGATGCTCTTAATGCCGTCAAGGATATCAAGAATGTTCTTAAACGCGGCCCGTGATTCAGAGGATAGCTTCGACTTGTCGTCGTTCGCCCCGATGGACCTGGGCTGTGACGAGCTGGACTGGTCTTCCAACAAAGGATCAGACTCCTTCGGCTCCCGGTCACCCTCCGCTGTGTCTTGCTTTTCTTCAGCCTCCGCTTCTGGTACCAACTCGGCAATTTCCTGTCTGACTTTTTGAAGGAATTCTTGCGTGCTGTTATCGTAAAGATCAAATGAAATTTGATATGCCACAGCGAGGGAACGTGCATCGCCCTTCTCGACTAATTGGCGGAGAATGACAGATGCCATAGAGTGTTCGTTGAGGTATACCACGCACTTCGCTATTGAGAAATAATCGGGGTTAGGGATCTCATTCAAGAGCTCAAGAATGAGTTTGAGAATCTTGAAAGCGAATTAGTTCCGGAGCTCTTGCAAGGCGGGGACAGAACCTACTTCGTTACGGAACGCACGCTCCTGTACAATACCCATACAAATATCCAGCACGTATTCCATCAGTTCTTCACTCCTTCGAGACTCGCCGTTCTGTTTTTTCTCATCTTCACTTGCTCGAATGATGGTCTTCCGAAGCACGTCCAAACTCTTCGCTTCGATGGCAATTCCGATCACCTGGCGGTATCGCTTTTGGATGAAGCATTGCTCAAACAGACGTTCGATAACGGTCTGCAGCTGGCCTTGGACACCCCTCTTCAGGACGAGTGGCGTCTCAACCTGGTTAACGCTAGCATCATCGCCACCCGGGTAACTCGCATCGATACCTGGTACTTCTTGTCGGGAAAGGAGCGACTTCGATGGTAAGGCGGACTGCGAAAACGGAGTGATCGGGGACGTCAAACTAGCAGAGGTGCTTGTAGCACCTTCGCTGGAAGTGGGGAAGGCAGTGTTGAGGTTGGCCGGCTGGTCACCAGCGGCAGGTCGTTGAGCAGCAGAGAGGGAGATGAAGGTATCAACGCATTTAGCTGTATATTACATCACGTTAGAGGGACAGTCCTCCCTGTATGTTTCGAGGAGCATACAAACATACCAATAATTGTTTCCTCAAATTCGCCTCCATTGTCTAACTTGAACAGCTTCCCGGCACCGAGTGCAAACACCATACTCTCATTATATTCTTGAAGGTGATAGTAAACTTTGGCGGCGACAAGAGCAGCGAGCTCGCGTTCTGGGAAGGTTTCATCTTCGTAGAGAGCCTCTCTAAATCAAACATATTAGCGCAGATTCCCTGGAAGGAAGTTGATTGATGGTTTGGATAAAAGCACGTCCAAGATCGAATGTTTGGTTTGATGACAGAGATGTCATAAGCTCGGAGAGAAGACATACATTTGCGGAACAGCATCCACCACTTCTGTCCAGAGCAAATCGATCTGAGAATCTAAGGTCTTTAAAGCGAACACCCGCAGCTCAGGGTCTGGCTCAGAAAGAAAGCCGACGAGGCCAGCAGCCGAAGCGAGTCCAACCATGTCTAATGGATTATGCTGTCGCTGGAGGGATAAGGCGACAGCTTCAACGGAGCTTTGGAATAGTCAAATCGGCCCACGGGGATGATGAGGGGCTCGAGTCTATACGTAAGACCAGCAACAGCAATATCTACCGGGAAGAGGATGATGGAGGAAAAAGATACAAGGAAAAATGGACAGCAGTTAGAGATTCGGAGTGATCAGGGAGCTTCGCAGATGAGGCACACGTCAACGGGCTTCCAGGCTGATGGAAAGGTTCCCGTGGTTCCTGCAGAAACCCCTAGAGTTATCACGTGATCTATGATGGCATGGGTTCAAGCTCCCCGAGAGGGTCACGAGCCTGCCGAGAAGAAGACAACAACCGTTTAGAGCTACGAACAGTGGTCACACATCTAAGTCAGGTTCAATGCTCCGACTTAGCTTTAGACACCCTAATTATAGTTCTCTGTGAATTCGATAAGAGATCTTTGTCTTCCAATTTCAATGTCCGAGTAGCTTCTCTAGCCCATAAACCAGGTGAACCATCTTCCTGTTTAATCATGTCGACAACCCTTCCGAAACATGGGGATTCACGTCTCGTATCTCTGCCCATTAGAGCATCTGCCTACCACCAAGATCCTTTGATTTATATTGACCGTCAAGCGAAACACATCCAACATAATCTACAGGCTCTTATCGATGCTCAAAGCGAAGGTCTCCTAGCAGGTCTCCAAGGACCTCAGTTGAACGAGACACCCACTGGAAGCTCTACCCCTTCCACAGAACCTAGTGTCCTCCAGAAGCCTTTGGCCATCCCTGTCAGACAACCGGTTACGGAGAAGATTAACTTACGTGCTGCACGCGAAGGAATATTCAAATCCATATTTGACTTGCTGAAACTTAGAGAGGAGGAGCGAGAAATACTCACAGCTCGTTTTGCCATACGAGCGGATGCACTAGATGAAATTAACAGCTTTACCACAAAAAGAGCCGGGCTTGAGGATGCTGTGTCGACAATCCACAACAACAGAGAAAGTCAACGCACCGAGGAACTCCGAGAGGAAGGCCACAAGCTAGAGGCGGACATTCATGAACTGGAGACGAAGCTATCCCAAATGAGAGCAAGGCATCGCCATGTCGTGGAAGAGCTAGCACATATGGAAAACTCGGTGGACTCCAAGTTATCCTCCTACAAGGCCTCCTTATCCCTGTTAGAGTCGGACATCCAAAAGTTCCTTCAGAACCCCCCTGTCCCACCCCAGTCGAGCTTCGCTAATGGTGCAACATTATATTCATTGAATCCTAAACGTCGGACGCTTGATATGGCCCGAGAGCATTGGACAACGGAGCAGTCAGAATTGCGAAAGAGACAAGAAGAAGTAGACCTTGAGATACAGGCACTTGAAGCAGGAGGGGGAGTCTGGAAACAGGTTATTTTAGAAGTTTGTCGATTCGAAAGACGGTTAAACGTAGCAATGCGCCGTTCACTACAAAATCAGTCGCAAGCTTCAGAATCTTCTAGGGCTGTTGAGAACAACTCCGAACTCGACCATGTTCGTGTGATTTTGGAAGACCTACACAATACAACAGAGCACGTGGAACACTATCTGGGAGTTGCAGAGGAGAAGAACTGGAAATTGCTTGTCTGTTGCATTGCTGCTGAACTCGAAGCATTGCGGGAAGCACGAGAAATGCTCCTTGATGCCTTCGATATTTCGGATGAAGACCCTTCGCCGTCGTCAGAACGAAGGGTGCTTGACAAGTCTGGGGAAGATAACCCGCAGGATCTACATCAAGATCCACTTGGAGTCGACAATCCCGACCCTCCAGCTGATCTATTACAGGATACCGAGGAACATCATTCTGACACCATTTCTAGATCGGAAGACGAAGATGATGAGCCGGATCCTGCGTGGCTGCTTCCGGAAACATAAAGAATCTTGAATAATGATTAAATATATAGAAATGTTGGCAGTTCTCCTTGAGGGAAGCTTTCGAAGGAAGCTATCAATCACGTAATGTAGGACCAGTACTAGTAGCTATAAATTTATGATCGAGAATGCCAATCTGGGCTTATTGTCCAGCGTCGTAGGGCAACATGCCTAAAACAAAGCGCATCGGGAAGGCGCTTTGACCAACATTGCAACTTCGCCCCCTCCGGCAGCGTGACGGACAGGAACCGTTCGCTGCGTTAACGGTTCAGTTGTCTGGTATTTAGCGATACTGCTATATATTCAACATAGAAATCTTGAGCCAAATCCAGTAAAAAAATATGTATTTACCCTCTCCCACATACTCTTTTACCATCCCTTCACTCCACGATGAGACTCAACTTGACTGTCGCCTTTATCTCCCCCATAATTCTTCGTTGCAGTTAGAAACTATACGAGGGGCTATCATCGCACACCCATATGCTCCTCTCGGTGGGTGCTACGACGATCCAGTTGTAAATTTTGTCGGAGGCGAGCTTTTGAAGAGTGGATACATCGTGGGCACATTCAACTTTCGGTAAGCACATGGCTGGCATTACCTGTACTCCTTGACTTGTTTACTCTCCTCTCTCCTCTCTCCTCTCTCTCTCTCTATACACTTGTTGAGTGGGTGTATACTGATCTGCTTTGTAGTGGTGCCGGTACTTCCGAGGGACGAACTAGTTGGACCGCGAAGCCCGAATTGGCAGATTATGTTTCCTTCTACGGATTTATGCTGTGTTACTTGCATTCCTTGAGGTCGCAAGAAGTTTCACGGCGAGGGGATGGAAGTATCCCTGGTGGGGCCAACGTTGAAGGCCCCGATGCTCAGTCTACACTTGACCGGGCAGATATCCATCTCATCCTTGGTGGTTATTCCTACGGCTCATTAATTGCATCACATCTTCCTGCACTTGATGTCGTTGCGGATCTTTTTAAAAATATTATTGCTGGCACACAGGCACATGAAATCCTTCAAACTGCAGTGAAAGTTTCGGCTCTGTTGGAAGCCAACGGCTCAACCCAAGAACGAAACCTGGCAATAGAAGACCACCTGGCTGTGGAAGAACCGCTGGATATCTCAGGAACAACAATATCATACCTTCTCGTGTCACCCCTCTTGCCGCCACTCAATCTATTCCTAACATTCTTCTCAACAATGTCTCTGGATATTGGGGCTCACAGCCCAGCTCAACGGAGGCAGATTCCATGTCCCAAGCCAACTCGTCAGCTATGCGCCCGTCCGAGTCTAGCTATTTACGGAAATCAGGACAGCTTCACATCTGCAAGTAAATTAAACAAATGGTCAGACGAACTGTCGCATGTGCCTGGCAGTCAATTTCAGTCGGCCGAGATCGACGGAGCTGGACATTTCTGGAGAGAGGATGGGGTCGAGTCGCAGGCAAGAGATGCACTGGGAAAGTGGTTGCGCCTGATACCTTGACTGTTCGTGCAAAATAGCGAATCAAAGGTAACTTAATGGCAGTTCTATGATCACTTTAGGAGAGGTCTAGAATATCGGACTGAAAGATGGGACCGCGTTCCCCATTTCCAGGCCCGTTTCACATGCACACTTCTCATCTCTAAAAGCATGTGATAGTCCTGCCTTCGCATGACCATCCCCAACTTATAGTGGGGATTTATCATCTGGAGTCTGAGGTTTGAGTCTAAAGGCCTATCGCGTCATTGGGTCAGTGGTTCCGTAAACGTTTCGATACCGTTACACATACTTCGCATGTTGAACATGGGTATCGCAGCTTACCGACCATTGACCCATGACAGAGCATTTAGGCTCAACTCGTTGATAAGGAATATCTGAGGCAATACTTATGTATAATACTACTCAGTAAACATTACATAACAGCACCCTTGCCCGCCAATACCCATGAATTGTATATTCATCACTCCTTATACATGCTACTGTAAATGTTTGGTTGCATTGGAATCTCGTATCGCGTCAGCTTCCAAATATGCGGTGTAATGTTTAGGCTATCGCATAGAACTAGTACCTCGTACAGTACATACCGGAGAACCCCCGTGACCCTGTATGATACAGTACCTATTAGAACCACTAGCATACTACTATATCAGTAGTAAGGCAGCAGTACACGACCGTACCCCAGGCCTAACTCTCTTGTTACGTTATACGTCCTAAGCTATCTTGCTACCGGCGAATTTCTTTTGATGCGGTAATGCCCGCTTTCGCAATTCTAATCGACTTGATACTAGTAGCATCATCCCCGCCATTCAGCTTGTGGGGCTGTATGAGATCATCCAGCAGATGATCTGAGCTGAAGGATTGGTGATCATCGTCTACAATATCCGAGTTTTTATTTCTTTTTGAACATAGAGTCTCGGCAATATAGATTTTAGAACCGAAGATAAATCTTCATAGTGTTCCTGTGGCTATAGGATGACTATAGTAGAATGTTGTTAATGCTGGTTCTTCAGCGGTGTTCAGACGGGCTTTCCGAATGAAGAATCCCCGCGAAAAGGAGTTGATGCGCATGATGAGCGGTTTCCCTGGGGCTGATTAGCGCTTGTGGCGATCGATAGGGGACTTCTGTCCAATCACCAGGGCCGTACAGGGGTCCCTCGTGACGTTTGGATCTACTCCGGACGGGGCCTTAGGCTGCGCTGCTGACACACCCCCAGATTTATCCATGATTTGCACAGTTTCCCCAAACCATCCCAGTTTTGTTCCACCCCATGGTCATAGATGGACACTTAAATTCCTTGACTTATGCTTATATCCGATGCGATACTAGATCTTTATTTTCCATAACCCTTTCCATGTGTTATCCTTTGACCGGCTTTCCCTTCAGATAGTCTCTTCTATCCAGCAATCTTTTTTCATAGTAGCCATTTGAGGTGTCATCGGTTTCTTGGTCGAATGTCTTGATGTCAGTGGAAGGCTGGCATGGCAATCCTTAATGACTCTCCCATACTACGCCCTCACTGTCATCCCCAGAGCAAACATGTTCGAAAGCCGGTTTCCGTCAAAGAGGCTTCTGGTACTCAGTTTCGTTTCCTTCCGAGAGCCGTTTCCCTTCCCTCGCTGTCATCCGTTATCAAGTCCTCCCTGACTTGGGCCGGCGACACTTTGTATAATGTGAACCAGGATGGCTCTTCCAAGGTGGGCAAGGGTGCTCATACTACTACCGATGATCGAAAGCAAGTGCTATATTTGAAAATGCGCAATGTATGTTAGCACTTTCTTTACCAGATATTGGCTTCGTCTTTCTACACTACGCAGCTACTAGTTGCCCTTGCAGCCTGATATGCTTGCTAACTGCATGCTCCAGGCTGTATCATATAAAGAGTGGAAGGACTGCGCCTACGAGTTGGACGAGTTAGAAGACAATAACTCCTGGAAAGCAACCTTCGAGAGTTCCGAATACGATCCTCATCTAGTGCAGGAACGTCTGAAGCAACTAGAAGAAGCGCGCATCAGCTGTGACATTAGCCGAATGATATTCCTAATCCGCACCTCCCTAAGCCGCGATTTAGGAAACATGCGTAACGACTCTCTCTATAGGCACTCGCACGTCGGTACGAAGGACTTGATTGATCAGTACATCACGACAGCCCTTGATACAATCTCGTCGCTGGTAGATTCGTCAGCGAAAGGTCGCTGTGATGGGCTGGAATTGAAGTATATCCTCGATCAATTTCTAGCAGCAAGGCAAGCTTTTGGTCGGAGCGCCTTATTATTCTCAGGTGGAGCAACATTTGGCATGAACCACATCGGTGTGCTTAAAGCGCTTTGGCAGGCAAAACTGCTCCCTCGTATTATCTCTGGCGCTTCGGCTGGAAGTATTGTATGCGCTGTCTTCTGCACTCGGACAGATGATGAACTGCCGCTGCTTCTGGATACGTTTGCCTATGGGGACTTTGCCGTTTTCAATGATCCCTACCAGGAGGAAAATATCCTTCAGAAGACAGCCAGGTTTTTGAAGTACGGTTCTTTTCTAGACATCTCGAACTTAGCCAAGGTCATGCGAAACTGGCTTGGGGATATTACATTCCAGGAAGCATATAATAGAACGCGCAGAATACTTAATATCTGCGTTTCTAGTGCTGGAATCTATGAGCTTCCCAAGCTATTGAACTACATCACAGCGCCTAATGTGCTGATCTGGTCTGCAGTGTACGTTCTACCTTCTCAACCCCACCCCCCCTCTGCCTCTGGTCCCCCTTTATTTTTTTCCCCCCTCCCCTTTAGCCACACAAATTTTTTATTGTCGGACTAACTTTCACAGAGCTGTCTCGTGCTCGGTTCCATTAGTATTTTCGCCATTTGTCCTCATGGCCAAAGATCCAGAGACAGGAGAGGCAGTCCCTTGGAACGACTTGCATAGGCAGTATATCGATGGCTCAGTAGATGGTGATTTACCGATGACCCGTCTATCGGAAATGTTCAATGTCAACCACTTCATTGTGTCGCAGGTTAATCCTCATGTGGTTCCGTTTCTCCCGAAATATGATGGCCCGACCCATGGGACACCACAGACCCCATCTTTGACTTCTCGGTTGTTCCACACCATGACGCATCTCGCGAAGGATGAGGTGTTGCATCGACTGACGGTTTTATCCGAACTTGGTATTTTCCCAACCTCTTTGACTAAAACCGTATCAATCGTGAACCAGAAATACTCGGGGGATATTAACATCTACCCTGAAATACTCTACACCCATTTCCCCGTAATACTAAAGAATCCGACTACAGAGTTCATGCTCAAGGCATGTCTTTCAGGGGAACGCGCGACGTGGCCCAAACTCAGACAGATTCGGAACCACTGCGCTATTGAATTAGCTTTAGACTCAGCTATCCAACAGATGCGGGCGAGAGTAGCCTTTAGTTCGAGTCAGATAGCCTTAAGGACTATCGGACTGCCTGGCTATTCAGAAACCATAGATAGCAGCTGTGGCCGAGGACGCTTGCTTAACCGGAGAAGCTCCTACAGTCATGAAGTCGAAAAGGCCAAGCATATCAGGGCCAACTCTGGTCGCCGAGCAAGACCGCTCCTAAGAAGATGCTGTAGCGTACAGTCGCCCGAACAGTCGTCAGACACCGATCGGCAAGATGAGGCGGATGATGATCGGGCTGAAGCTCGTGAGAGTTATTTTCCCGACCTTAACGATGACCTATCCCTCACTGAGTCCGGCACTGACGAGGAGACGCGACCTCTGGCTTTGGAACGGCTCGGGCTTGCAGATGGTCGGGCAATATATCATCAACCACCTCGCTGGTCCGCTCCGCATGGTGCTTTTCCATCGCTGCGGTCATTACCGACTACCTCTATTCACTCAAGGAGATCATCTGTAGGCACACAATGTCAGCCGTCAACCCATGTCACAGATGCCTCTTTGACTCCGGCACGCCAGTTATCCACTAAGTTGATATCCTCTCCCCAAAACCGCACGCTCCGCATGACACCCACGAGCCATCCAGACCGCTCACCTCCTGCCTACAACTAACAAAGTTGTGCCGAAGATTTGCGTGCTTTTTAGTGAGGTGATATTGCATTTTAACCGAAGCACATAGCCAGATGGTATGTCCTATTGTATGTGGTCTGCTGGCTTTGTGTCCCCGATCTGTCGGTGGACACATTACTACCTTGTCTGGAACGACCTAAATCATCAACTACACCATAAAGAGGTTGCAGGTTCGAAGTCCGACGTCCTGTGAAATGTAGCGAGGATCGGATGGACCTCTGCTATGCATCTCAGAAGATCATCACCTGGGATGTGGTGCCTAAGTTTTCTTTGCTCTTTCCTCTTATTTCTTTACCTTTCCACTTAGTCATTTTCGACATCTAGAATTGGGACTTGGTTTAGACAGATATAGGTTTGCTACTGCTGCAAAGCGGCGTTCGGAAATGGGCGTTCTCAAAGAGGGGATTAGCCACGGGGCGATCTGCCCTGGTTCGCAAGATTTGGCTATAATAGACGGTTATTTGAATCATATTTTGGTAAAGTCATTATATACGCATGCATATACACCTAGATAGCCTGCCCTGGTAACTATACTGCTTAGCTTATGTATGAATGCATCATAGATCGCATTAGCATTGCCTGCCTTGTATAGCTTGAACGACTATATGAATTGGATTATGCTGAACACTAGCCTTATCAAATAACTTAACCCTGAAGAACAAGATACATCGCCTGAACTGATAGAGTAAGCAGAGGTCAGTGCTGAGCAGTACACGGTTGACTATTCAAGGTACCGTGAGACCTGGCATGAGGAGGAGGAGGAGGAGGAGGAGGAGTGATATAGCACCTATTAGACTTGTCAGCATGTTCCGACTTGGCCAAAACGCCAAAGTCTACTCCGTACGGCTGGTCTACCCTCAGAAAACTGTAGATGCTAGCTAGATATTCTTTATGGCTTTTAGATAGTATTCAGTATGAATGTTAGTAGCGAGCCTTCACAGAATTTACATCCTCCCCAGAACCCTAAGTTTGTGTACCGGACGATTTCAGCGCTACTGACCTAGGCGGCATAATTTACGATATAAATTTACCATTATTTAACCTTTCTTGGAGTACTCCGAGATCCGAAATTAAGCTCTCAGTTCATCTACTAGCCTCCTACACAGTATTTCCCCTCTTTTAAGTTGGCTCAAATGGCCTTGCCGTTTCCGAGCAGGGCCGTGACCAAGGGTATCGATGAGAGTGTATCACCAAGTATGATCAGTAACCAAGGCACCCTGAAGACTTTTCGAAGATTGGATTATTATACTGCAATGAGATTCTTCACACTTAGGTAAACAAAATCTAGGTATCCGACTGGCGCTTCCACTCATCTCCGCGCCCCAGCAATTAACCTCAACCTCATGAGTTCAATACTGCCTAGAACTTGGCCGTTGCTAATATTAACCATTATGCATGTTGTGACTCGGTGATAATTATAGAGCACACATGCTAATTAGGGTGACGCAGGTAAAGAAGAGGACGAGGAAGGGAGTTTCACGATTCTGTCGAGGGGGTTGTTTGGCGCTTCGCTTGGTGATGGTTCTAAATTTGGCCGAATTATGCAGTGTTAGGTCGGAACTAATTCCTGCAATCAAGGTAATTAATTCGTTCAAGGGAAATTTGCTAAGAATGGAACAGGACTTAAGGACTTTGTCGATCAATCAGCGATGAATCCGTGGTTCCAGGCGCGGAGACTAATGCGCCTGCCCGCACTTTCTCTCACCTTTGCTTCTAATGTTGGCAACTGCACTAACAATATTCCAGGTGCATGCATGACGCGACAAAAAAAGAATCATCTCTGAAACGCTTGGCTCAAGGACAAGCTTTTATACTCCTTCATCCTCTCTACGATGCCACTGGAACATCAACCCGGGCAAGATCCTTCTGGATTTATACTTTGGTCTGTGCTTCATCAGGCGCATCAGCTCATGAATTCTTCCCTGCCTTGATGTGCCTTTTGTTTCATGCCTCCAAGAGTCTTTGTTATTCAGCGTGCCTTAATTCTTCCTTGTGCGTTTAAGCAGCTTGCTAGCATTCAACTTCTACTACACTTATTTGGTCATTTTCTTATTTTCTTGTTTGCAGTGTTGTTATTGGTAACCAGGTACTTTGCATAGTGCCTGCTATCGTGAAGAGTTCATATAGGCTCGTCCCATTATCATACCTCTGAGCCCGCAACTCTTGGGTTGATACACACTTTGAACCTTGACTTGCCCTCTTTTTAATTCTATACATCAACTTATCTTCATCATGGCAAACATTGTACAACGGCCCCTGAATCGCTTTCGCAAGAGTGAATCCTACAAGCCCCTTCACGAACGGTTTGGAGATGTAGCAATTTCAGCCCCGACTGAGGGGTCATGGAATCAACTCGAGAACCCTCGCCATTCTTCCCCCAGAGGTTATGGCCATGGCCTTGCCAGAGGCAATTCTACCAGGTCCTCACGGGAGAATTACGATACAGCCTCTGCTCCACAGAATACTGCCGCATCTAGGCAGAATTCCTTTTCTATAAGCACCCTGAACCCTCGTCGTCTTTCGATGCGTTTGGCTCCACGGTCAAGGCATTCCACCGAGGATCCAAACGAAAAAGAGCATCTGCACCACAATGACCGAAGAACCGAGTTTGCCTACAAGCCTATTCACCAAGACTACTCTACTGAGGTTGCTGAGAAAGCTGCTTCGCGTGTTCATGATTCGCCTCGTTTCCGATATATCCCAGCCGATGCACGGACTGCAGCCATCTCGCCTGGAAGCCACCGATATTCAACGAGTTCGCAACATAGTACACAGTCCAATTACGCCGGGATCGAGGATAGGGATAATCGACCCAGACGACAACAGTGGGATTCTCGTTATGAGGATAAATACGATCACCATGTTGAACCGCTCGAGAGATCTCACCGGTCATCTCGGACGGGATACAGAACTAGTGGCGAGTATAGTGAGTGGGCGATGGCAGCACAAATGAATGCGAGTTCATCGTCGGAGAAGAAGAGACTTCGTGCTGCGAAACGTATGACCATGACCATGGTACCTGATGCGGAGGACATCTATGGATAAAAGCCTATGCTTCTTTTTTGTGATTTATAAATGTGGTCATCATTCAGGATGGTGTATATATTTGCGGCCGTTATAGCGCGATGAGCATTTTCTGCGTTAGGGCTTTTGCAGGGCGTTGGTGGTTGGCTGAATCACTCCCACGAATACACGTATAATGAACAGCTTACGTTACTCGACTTCTGATATACATACAAATCTAGAACTACTTCTATTCCATAACATGAGCTTGGAATGCGATTTGCAACCGGTGTTTATAAGCATTCACGGCACTGACGTCAGTCTGACGATTAAGGAATCTTGATTCCGAATCCTTCCTGTCTAATATCCCTTTTGCCGGCAGTCTTTTCACCTGGATCTGTAAAAAAGGGGAAACTCTTGGCTTCATGGAAGTTCTTGGAGTTAGGGCTCGATGGGTATGAAGTCATGACCTGGAATTTCCCAAAAAGGAAGTTGCGATCAGTTCCAGGCGCACCTTCCGTCCATGACGACATGTTAACGCAGGTCCGCATTTCATCCTCCAGATAAATGAATACTCTCCTCTCTTGTCTTATTTCGATCAGTCTCAGGAATTGAATAGTTCTTTCTCCGGATCCACTCAAGATATTTAAGACACTGATCTGGATCAAGTCAATTACTCCACCTCGATTCGCGACAATGGCGGAACCCGTTGTTCAGCTCCAATGCGGAGTAAAGGTATAACCAAGCCTTTCCCCAGTATTTCCTCTTGAGTATATCAACTAGTAAATGCTAACTATTTTACTTTCCCAGAATGATTCATGGGGTAAGCAAGGAAAGAACTCGTTAGCTGGTCAGCTTTGGTCCAAGACCCCCAAGAACGGGGATGTAAAAGATGATCAAACATACTCCGAGGTACTTCGAGCTACTCACGTGGTATAGTGAAGGCATTGTTTCTGACATTTTTAGATGTGGATGGGCACATACCCAGCAGTCCCTTCTCGAATCCTTTCAACAGGCGAGCTCCTCTCCGAGTATCTGAAGAAGAACCCAGAGCTCGTTGGCAAATCAGCGCTGGATAAGTATGGGCCGGAAATTCCGTTCTTGCCGAAGGTGAGTACTGTATTCCCATATACTTTATGTCGTGAATCCCAGGGGAAGATGGCTTAACGCAACAAACCACCAGATCCTCTCATTCAGAAAAGCGCTCCCTCTCCAAGTCCACCCAGACAAATCGCTAGCAGAGCAGCTCCACAAAGAAAACCCAGATCAATTCAATGACCCAAATCACAAGCCCGAAATCGCAGTCGCGCTGTCCAATTTCGAGCTCTTCGCTGGCTTCAAACCCCTTAGTGAAATCGAAGCGATCATGAAGCTAAAGCCAGTTGAGCAATTAGTACCCTCCAATCAGCCATTCGATGATGAACTACTACGGGAGCTTTGCAAGACACTCCTCACTTTGCCCCCAATCGTTGTCTCGGAGATCATCCAGAGCCTTAAGGATCTCCCGGAAGCCCAGTTCGGAAAGCATCGTTATATTCCTGGGATGCTCAATCGGCTTAGCAAGCAGTATACCGAGTTCGATAACGGTAACCTGGTTGCCGCGCTGCTGATGAACTACATGACTCTTGGACCTGGAGAGGCTGTCTGTGTACCTGCGGATAGTATCCATGCGTATCTCTGTGGTGACATCGTTGAGTGTATGGCGCGGTCTGATAATGTGATTAACACGGGGTTTTGTCCGCGTGCAGAACGCGATAACATCGATTTATTCACGCGCGCACTGACCTTCAAGCCACATGGAGTGGACGAGGCTCTTTTGCCGCGGAGAAAGAGTGACAAGGGTGTCTCTGGGAAATCGGATGAGTATGCGCCTCCTTTCAGTGAGTTTAACGTTTTAGCGACTAGTTTGGGAGCTGGAGAGCATGAAACACACAAGGCTATTTCTGGACCAAGTCTTTTATTTGTCACCAAAGGATGTGGGCGGTTAGAACTGTCCGAGGGAAAGTCTGTCAAAACGTTCGACCTGCAGGTGGGATATGTATACTTTGTTGGACAAGGTGTGAGTCTGGATCTGTCTACAGACAAAGGAATGGCTGTGTATCGACCATATGCCGAGTGAACGGGAGAGTTTGAAGCACTTAAGTACGATACATGTTGAATGAGATGCTTTTCTCTATGTACACTGAGGTCTATAGACGTTGAGGTTAGGTTTTGGGGTCTAGCCCTCTAACAAAGCGTGGCGTATAAAAATTATAGAATGAACCGACTGACCTGGCATATCTTGATCACACCCGATATGAACATGTTTAGAATTCTAGAATGATAGAAACTAAGATTGGATCTGCAACCACTTAACCAGAATCTCCGATTTCTCCTCATTTGCACACTTTAAAATAGATCAACTAATGCGGGTCCGATCCTTCAATTGCCGCTGATACGACAACCCGAGCGCTTGCAGCTCCGAAACCGAGCATCGACAGCCAATGAATCTGCAATTGCGCCGAAATCCTTCTATTTTTGGGGTTATTGCTTTTGTTACAGACTGGTGCTTGCTGGATACACTGCATATTGTCCCGCTGGCTAGCCGCGACTCAAGGCTGGAGCAGATGCTCTGACCAGAACTTAAAATGATCTCAAACAAGCCATCTTGAAACGAGGCTGGAGGTGAACTTGAGTTCTTAATGGGGGGATGTATCCGCTCTTCTTGAACTGAACTGAACTGAGGGGGAAACTCAACCGTTTTCTCTCGACCAGCGATCCCTTCTTTCTTACCCCGCAAGCTTGCAATATGTTTCTCCCTCTTTGCCGAAGGTCACTGGTGCCTCGATCAAGTGACCCAGCCACCGATCAGATTATTATAGGGGTTGTTTTGGGTTGTGTCGCTGCTATTGCTAGTAAGTATAGCCTTTCTTCTCTACATACCCACTAAAACGGCTGTTGCTGACGTCGCACCAGTCACTGCGGGGATCTTGTTCATTCTCTTCAAGAAACGGAGATGGGATCGCATCCGACAATATGAGGAGGACATGCTGGTCATGCATGCACCGCTGGGCTGTAATCCCCAGGAATATCCCTCTATCAGCCAGGGAATGGAACGGCCACGACCCTACTCGTCAATGTATTCCTATAGTCGACCACAAGAGCAAAACCATACCCACCCTCGTGGCAGACTGTCCGGGGACACCCCGCCACCAGCATATACCACTATACCTGCCTATGACCCCTCGAAGTACCAGGCCATTAGTCAACTGCCACCATCAGTTAAAATAAATCGACCGACCCAGGTGGACCCGGTCGGTATGATTGAGGAAAGGCCATTCTCTTTTATTCGAGGCGTCGAGCAGCAGTACACAGGCCCAATGGAGACACAGAGAAGTTCGTCTCAAGCAGAGCAGCGGGGGCTGTCACTGGAGAGTTCTCGGTCGATGAACTCGGATAGTAGCACCACCAATTTCTCTCGACCTTTAGAGGGGACACAATCACTCCGGCGACCAAAGCCTGTGCTCTCGAGATTGGTCACTAATTTTCATTAAGGGATGGCTTCGGCTGTCAAATGGGACGGATCTGCGGGTTTTGGTTAGCGTTGGACTGGTAAATGGGACGGGAATGGATAAATGGGTCAGTACGGCGTATGGTGTATGGTGTGGCTTTCTCTTTCCCTATTTCCTTTGGGTCTCCCTTGTTTTTCTTTGGGGAAACAACGCGATGGGTTCATAACAGTAACGATATCTGTTTTCCTATGCCGTGGCGTTAGGTATAATGATGAAATTGATGATGATCATGAAGCATATCCTTTGTCGCTAGAGTATGGACTTAGAGGATAATGTCTTGCTGTCATTGTATTTTGACGGATGCGCTGTCGTCTGCTCTTGTGCATAGCGGAATATATAATGCGTTTCCACCGAGACTGAGTCCTAGTGAGTGATAAGCCTATCGGGATGGCATTGCCAACTCACCCTTTGTGAAACTAGATGTAACAAGTAGGTTAATGACGGAGTTCAATGCTAATGAGAGTGAAAGGACGGAGGGTGACACCCTTCCTATCCTGATTCAAACAATCGCTCCTTCCCCATAAAACGGCATGGGCAGAGCCAAACAAACCAATCACCTAGACAGCAAAGATTTAGTGATAACTATCTCCAGCAGAAAAGAATACCATGTCAATGTTTGCATATCTCGAGTTCAAGATCTGTGAGCTGAATCAGGTCCACTGGTAGAATGAGGGCAGGAAGTTACCAGCAACTTTTGCCAACTCGTTAAAAAGAAAATGGAAATAACTGAGCTAGTATTGCTACTAGTAGTACTTGAGGTAGCCCACCTGCGGCATAGAAGAGCTTACATAGGGAAGGAAAAAAGGAAAGAACTGTAAAAAGTACTAGAGAGCTGGTGACACCTGTCTACTTAGTTTACTTAGTCTACATGGTTGCGTACTTGTGAGGGGCCACTCTCACAGGGCGTAAGATGACTCCATTAGTCTGACTTACTATAGGGAGTTATCATTGAAGCTGGCACTGGCGCTTGTGCCTTGTTGGCTATAGTGCCTACTACTACTGCTACTAGTACTTCTGAGCGTGACGTCCATACCATCTGCAGGGTTGCATTCCGACGGGTATTGACAGTGGGGACTAAATGGGCCCCTCAAGAAACAAAGAGAATGAAATATTAATATCGAATAAATTGGACAGGAAGTAGGCAATAGAACGTTATGGAGGTGGGGTATGATCTATCGTGGGTCTAAAGCTATAGCATTGGCAGTCTAGACATACTACAAGTATCTTGTCGAATAAGTACTGATAGTCCATAACCACTACTTCTTGCAGTAAATGGACCGCTGAACCTAGCAATCTTTTAATCGCTAAGATTAACACTAAGTAACTATAACTCGTAAAAATTATTTACCGCCCTTGTACAGCGATTGAGGCTACTTACAAGGATCAAGTCGAAAGTTGCCCAATCGGGATATTAGGGCAAGGATTGTCGAGGAGGAATTTGTCATCGGTCATTTGACGGGAAAGTTCGCTTGGGCGTTCATACCTTGTCAAAAGTCCTAAAATGTCCAGCTGCAGCGCATTAACAATTCGTTTATCTTGGACAGGAGTTTATTATATTGGCCATCCCACGTCGTCTCCATCACGGCGCGTAGATAAGCTCGGTGGATGGTTCGGGTTCAACCGCGACGATCAACCGGGTGCTTGTTCTCGCGCCAGCCAACGACTTTCTCCCTTTCCCCTCTTTCCCCTCCTCTACAACGGAAGGAATTATGGTTCCGTGTCCAAATTAGGTGTTGGCGTCTGTGGAGACGTTAGGTAAAGAGACTTTGGTCCCTTGAACACAATGGGCCTCAGTTATTAACTCATCTGACACTTCGCCAGTCATACGAATGGATGCTCTCCACCTTCCCTGTGAGGTGATGTTGCATCGCTTGCGCTCGCGGGGTCGACGCACCTATAAACGGCAAGGAGTTGTACAACATCCTTGTTACCAAGCTATAGTCTCTGTCCTGTCCCCTGTCTGCTCGCCAGTGTGATGTTGGCCATGAAGCGCCACGCCAAGCCAAGACCCACGCCGGTTTACATTTGACATCCATGTCGTGGTGGGCGACGGTAGACGCAAGATGACTGCGCCGTAATATTCACCCCTCGTTCGGCCCTATCTTTATGAGCTACGAAGCCGGGTGCTGGACCCGGTTGCCTTCCTTGTCATAATCATGGTCGGCCCAGCTTCCCAGGGCCAGTTACCATCGCCAGTCGTTGTACCGCTTTCGAAGACCCCTCGGTAACCAAGGGAGATCGGTCTGTCGTTCTTCATCTACTGGTGCTCTGTCAACCTCCACCGGAAGGGGGTAGAGGAGGGGCGAACCAAACTGCCGGGCCCAAGACGCGTCCCCTACTCGCACCAAACTTGCCTTGGAACCCATCCGTTGACGGTCTATCTTTCCGGAAGACCTTTTCTCTGCCGCCGATTCAGAAAAGCATGCAGCTGTCATTCGACGGGCGGTATATCGTCGATGGACGTATACTGATATATCATCCCATGCAGACTGGCGGTCTCCATTAATTCCACATTTCCCGTCTTCTGCTCCGTTTAGATAGTCTTTGACCTCCCTTGACGGCTTGGGAGAAGGCGACACGCATAGCTTACCAGTTTCAAGGTATGTGTCACGCGCACTTTTGACGAATACTTGTATGCTTTGAGCCACTCGTCATCAGTTGAAGCTCATACGCCTCCCACGCATATGTGGGCAGAGTTCATTTTATGAAAAACCCTTTGGATATCATGACGGGTATTATTCAAAAACTACGAAGAAAGCGGAAGCTCTCTTCGGAGCTAGACACCCGCTGGGGAGATGTGGCTATCACGTATCCCAATGCAGGCTCCTGGAGTCAATATGAGCAATCGCCTGTTGGAACATCCACTTCAATACCCATTAAAATGTTGGACCACTGTCGACGACATGGTTCTCTTGATTCGCTCGATCGCCATGGTCACACATCTACTCTACCTTTGGGAAACTTCAAAGAGCGGACATCATCCACGGATTCAGCCATGACCATGCCGACGGGACACTATGACGCAAAAGTACGAGGGCGATCAAAGAAAAAAGCGCCCCCTCCTAGTCCTATAGTAGGGCATAAATCCCATCCTACAGTGAAGGATGGATTTGACGAATCCTCTGTTGATGAGGAAGAGGATTCCATATCTGGCCTTTATAGTCCAAAGACTCGATATCTACGAGACAGGTCTCGTACGAGATCCCGTGAGGAAAGCGACGCCTACTCGCGCGCATCCAAATCACCACCGCTGTCGGTCACATCAAGAATGCGTCACTTCAGTTTGCAGAGCACTACGACCGAACCGACAGCATCTATACCAGCTACATCAAGCTCGAGGCATACCAGTTATACGTCGTCTATCCCTTCGGCGCCGTCTGAAGACCCTCGACTGGGACACCGACCAAGTCCTCGTGATACCAAATTGATGCCTCGGCCGAAGCCTGCACCGGTTGCAGAACAGGAGTTAGTTCCATCGTACGACGATCTTTACGGATAGTGAATTTCCACTATATTGGATTCGAGGTAATGCTTTGAGCTTCCTGTGCAAGAACAGGCTCCTGCAAATGACCGATACGTTAAGCTACCATGAGTCATGACAAACACTGATCAACCGATTTGGATCTTTCTTTGCTTTTTTCGTTTATGTCTCGCCTCTCTGTTTCTTTTCCCTTTTCGGTGCCACCGGCGAGAAAGAACAAACTTGCATAGTGGCGTTATTATCTAATTCGTATCTCACGTTGGAGGCCATATTTTTTATTTTTTATTTTTATTTTTATTTTTATTTATTTTTTTTTCATTTTCTTTTTGTCATTGTCTTTTCTTGCCCCATATCAATCGGATTTGACCAAGTACTACTAGTAGTAGTCTATGAGCGATTTGATTTACCCTGTCTATGACAGCCAATGATGGTGAATTGCGCTTAACTGATGTTTGGCGCGAAGGGCATTTTAGCGGAGTGATGACCACCGACAGTTATTTCTCGGGCATTAGAATTTGTATACAATTATTTTATTATGATGATGATTTTTATTTTTATTATTTGTTATTATAATGACATAAAAGTCATAGTGAATGGCGTTGTTTAGGTCTTTTTATTTTATTTTATTTTATTTTATTTTATTTTATTTATTCATTTTAATTAATTCTTTTCTGTTGCATATCCTGATTTGGAGGGAAAAAAGCCAACGCAATGCAGGGACAGTGTGATTTTGTGATTCTTCCAAGCGCCGGGTTCCAAAAGAACTGCAAATGGGCAACACAACAGTCGACGACCTTCGGAGGGATGTTCCGAAGCTCAAGAATTGCACTTTGCATCTGACCAATGATCGTTCCGCCAATGAGGATCGACAGGAAACAAAAAAGATGAGGGGTTCCAAGGGAGATCGACGAATGGAAAGCCTCAAGCGCAGAGGAGAAGCGACCATCTGCAGAAGCCGTCACAATCACAATCACTCGTCACCAATCCCTCGTCACGCCCATCACACGAATCGCCTGTCACTGGGCAAGGATCACCCCTTCCAGTGCCCATCTTTTACAGGTACTCTTTAGCGCCCGGCTGCACACTGCATGCTTGTTCAGTCTTGACTAGCTTGGGCATGCTTGACAGCTTCCAAAGCACGATGATCGCACCACGGATGCTACTCTATGCCTTATCAATCCCACGAAGGTACCGGAAAGGGCTCTCTTTTCGGGGTCCAGTCATCGTGAAAAGACCGCAAGTTCAATCGTCTTGTCACCCTCTGCTTTCCGCACCGGACAATTGAGGTGCTTCCCCTCCCCTTTTCATCCACATTGTGTCCGCAGTTGCTCTTGAGTATTAAATGCCAGCACTGCGGGCACTCTTTTCCTCTTGGCTGTGGTAGTGCAGACAGTATCCGGTGACCATTCCCGACCCCAACATGCTCGGATCCTGGGGCCTAGTTCCAAGATCTACGTCTCTCTGGGCGGCAGCTTTAATTCTCCTCTGCCACTTAGTGCCGCTGGCTGTGGCGTTGCGGACAACACCAGGATCGCCATGTGCGAACGTTTGCAATAAGCAATCGGCCAACACCACGGGGTCCGAGATTACCTGTCTAGATACGGACTTCACTTCCACCAACAAAGGGTCTCAATTCAAGCAGTGTGTCGACTGTCAGTTGCGTAGTACTTACAGTGACCCATCTTCTGGGGAGACGGATGTGGACTGGGGACTTTGTAAGTATACGCTGGGTCCGCCTCTTGGAGCTCTCTAACCATCCGAGCTTTGCAGACAATCTTCGTTATACGTTCACCTCCTGTGTCTATGGCTACCCTAAAAGTGTGAGCAATATCTCCACGCAATGCACGGTGAACTGTCAGCCGTTGGACAGAGCCCTAGAGTTTGATCTGACAGACCCGGGTGCGAACAACTTTTACACCTGGTGTGGGACTACGTCGTTCGCCGACAATCTCATCACCCAATGCGAGCAGTGCTATAATTTCACCCTCACCCAGACCCAGGATCCGACAAATGGTCAATCGCAGGTGTTTATGGCGAACTGTGCGTTAGATTTCCAATCATTCCGAGTAACATGCATAGCTGACTTGAACCCCTGAATCGCAGTCCTTGAAGCGCTTCGTTATAACTGCCATTTTCGAACACCTACGGGCTTTGCGTTCCCTATTAGCCCAACGAGGATCTTCAGCCAGTCGCTATTACCATCCTCAACGGTAGACCTTATCAATCCAACCTCAACCGGTGGTCCTGGGGTCAACCTGGCTCTGGTGATTGCACTCCCGGTCCTGGGATTCGTGATTCTGCTGTGCGCACTTTCCATATGCTGCTTCTTCTTCATTCGGTGGCGTCGCAGAAAGGCCCGAAAGCATCGACAATCCAGCCACCTGCATGCCCGATGGAACGATACCGGCATTAGTACCCCGTGGGCGAACTACCACGAAATGTACAGTCCGACCAAGTATCAGCAGGGCCACGGGCAACAGCAGCAAGGGTTCAGCTTCGTCGACACCGATGGACAATATCGCGATGTGGGCTATTCCAAGAATCTCGCCGAGGTAACCGCGTCCGCTGTCGCAACGCCTCCCCTGAACCTTTCCCCAGACGGGGAGAAACAGAAAACCCCCGAGTACCCTGAGTACTTTGGCCAGGATTCCAAGCAGAAGCGGTAGTAGTGACTGACGGTCATAAGACTGGTTCATGCAAAAGGTCTCTGGGCCGATAAATGACGTATGGGTTCGTGCATGTTAGTAGTTTCGATCCCAGCTATGTGCGTTGGCGTTTTGCCATGTCGTTATGTTTCATGAACTCGATGAAGAGAACTGTGCTCGTCGCGATATACCCCCTCCATTCCTTGATACTAATTCACCAAATAATATCTGCTCATGTTGTATCCCTCCACGATGGAAGTCGGCTTCCATCTCATGTCATATATCATAGTCGGAAATACATATCAAAATTCACACAGAGAACAAGAAAGTAAACAGAAGAAAATCTTACGAACAAAGCAACAGATTATATACAGTAGAAACACCCCCCCCCCTCTCTCACTCACCCAGAAGATCAGAACCTCGAAGGATGCAAGACTCTAAAAATAAACACGGCATAGCAAGAGACGAGATTGGACCGACAGGCGTCTAAAAGTTTCATGTCCCCCAGCCAAGCTCCAATCACCCCCATGCAAACCCGACAATGATAATAATAGAATTCCGCAGGATCTTTCACCGGTAAAAATCAACCAGAGTCTAAGCTGAGCATAGCATTATTTCAGAAGGGGAGCTCGTGGGCAGTTATGTCCGGTGAATTCCAGTTGTACAGTGCATAGGACTGCTTATCGTGTTTACTTCGGGTGGTGGGCGGTGACGTTCAATCCATTGGAGGGGGACCCAGGGAAAGAAAGAGCATACACTAAACCCGATCAAGCGATAAGCATCTAATCTCCGCCATCTTGGATTGTGATCTCCAAATCGCATCCAACAATACCTCCCGGCACTCCAACCACAAACCATTGAAACACAAAAGTCAAAGCACCAATAGCACCCCCAAAAGGGAACGAAAAGAGGAAAATGGCCACCCCAACGCAAGAACAGCTCAAAACCCTCGAACAATCCCGCCAGCGACTGGTCCAGCTCACGCGCTCGCTGGCGTCCCTAATCACAAGTCTAAATCAAAGTGATCCTCTGCCATCCTGGTATGTCTATACTTGTTTCAACTAGTTCTTTGTGTCTGTTTAGTCGGTTGTGCTCTTAATTCCCCAAATCATGAATGAATGTGCAAGGTAATTGTCGTAAATAAACTAACTATTGTTTAATTTTTTTTTTTTTTAAAAAAAAGGTCCTCTCTCCAATCCCAAGCTAGCATCATCTCAAACAACCTCCTCAGCGTCTCCGACCACCTCTCCGACAACCGCGATCTCCTGACCTCACTTGTCGCTTATCCGGGCCCTGACTATCCAGGTCGTACGCAGGCCAACACGCTCGAACAGCTTCTTCGGACGAAGCTTGACCCCCGCGTCGAGGACTGGGTTGCGCGCGGTCGCAAGGCGGGCGCGTCTGCGCTGGAGGATAAATCCGGGCTGGCGGAGGCGGAACTGGCGGAGTTGTGGGATTGGGCGCCCGTGGAGGCGAATCAGGAGGCAAGACGGAGGGATTGGGGAGGGAATTTTACGCTCGAGGAGAGGGAGATGGGTGTGCAGAATGTTGTTACGGGGTTGGCGAGGGTGTTGGAGGATGAGGGGAGTGAGAGTGAGGATGAGGAGGAAGGGGAAGAGGATGAGATGGAGATTGTCGGTGTTAGGAGGCAGTCTGCTGGGGCTGGGTTTGAGTTTGATATTGCGCCTGCTTCGGCTGCACAGCATCATCAGCAGAAGTTTGTGGAGCCTGCGGTTCCGTTGGAGGATATTTTGAGGTTTATGACTACTGGGGCGGAGCCGGGGAAGAGGTAATACTTTGGAATGATAGTTTGAGAAGTTACGAGGGAATGAGAATAGAACACTTCGTGAAGAGAATGTATTACGTTGTATCATTAAAACTGCGTACTGAGGAAAGTAATCAATAACGAAACTAACCACGGCGTCGCGTAGTGGGGGTCTTTCCAGACGGCTTGGGAGAGGCAGATGCGCCCGAGCTCTGTGCAACAGGAGCCCTTTCCACGGGCTTGGGAGCTGCCTTCTTCGCCTTCTTGGGCTTCGTCGGCGCCTTCCAATAGTACACCATTTGGGTTGCCAGGACCACATTCAGAGTGAAGCCGGCAATGAAGCCATACAGAATCAGCTTGTCGTCTACCTCCTGGAGGGTAGTGAAGATACGGGACAGAGAGCCGGCAAGATAGTTGAACACCTGAATCAACATTAGTCGAGATTCCAAGCTGGTTGAGAGCGGGAGAAAACATGGTACATACCGCGAAAGCACTCAACTGTCCAGTGCCTCCTTCGCGCCAAATGGTAATGATCTGGGGCAGCTTGCTCGCAACGCCCAGGGCACCAGCACCGGCCTGCAAAAGAGACATAGTCTGCGCATCCACCAAAGTCTGATCGAAAAGCAATGCGTACACACTGGCCGCAACAACAGCAATGAATGCCGCAGCCGCAGTTGATCGATCGGCGAAGGTCAACACCAAGACACCCACCACTACATCTTGTACGGCGATCAACGCGGTTTCGCCATAAGTGCTGAAAGGGAACTGGTTGCGCACACTGTACGACAGCGTGATGAGCAAGCTAGCAGTTTCGAGAGCGTACGACACAAAGGACACGCCGGCCGAGGAGCGAGATCCGATCAATTTCAGAATCTGGGGAACCTTCACGATAGCGCTGGCACCCACGATGGCAATTCCGAGAGCCTTGGAGATAGCAAGGGACGTGCAGGCAGGATCTTTGGTGACATCAAGATCAACCAAAAGAGCGTTGTGGCAGGACGATCCGATCAGCGAGGTGACGGTATCGTGGACGGGTTCCGGCAGCGACGAGACGATCTGACGGAGGTAAGGTTGGAGAGGGGTGATAATATTTTGCTGGAGGGGTTCCATGATGGAAGCGGCCATCTTGAGTTAACTGTTGTAAATATATGAAAACAGAAAGGCCCAAGCCAGATCGCTGAGGTGAGAGTTGTAGGACGGAACTTTTTTTTGAAGATAAGTGGACTGATTGATAGCTGTCAGAACAACTCGCCGAACTGCGGTTATGGTCCCTACCGCCGGACGAAGGAATTATTCTCCGTCGCGATAGGGCAACATGAATTCTAACCTTGTCCTACGAGGTTCAATGATAGATTAACAGATCCTCCTTAATGTCCTTTTCACCATGATCCTCCTCCGCTCCTCTTTTCGGAGGCTGGGATCGACTCGGGATCCGTCCCTCGTGTGCTCCCGATGTCTTATACGCAACAACCGTCCTCATCCTCCCTCCGCCCTCCACAGCTTCCTGTCGTCCGCGCGATCACAGTCAAGCGTTGCAGATGATCAATCCTCTTCCGCCGTCCTCCAGAAGACGTATTTTTCTGCTAATCGAGGCATTGAGGGTACACCGAGCAAGGACGGGATTTCCCCCTCATTATCGTCCACCAGTTCCGCGCAGGCGAATGCTGCCAATACCTCCAGAAGCGAAGGCGAGGCGGGGTCGGCCTCTACGGAATCAATTGAGTCAGAATTGCCTCATCGCAGAAGGAAACGTCTAAAGGAAGAGGCATCTGGGAATAATGGAGCAGATCATGTTATTCCGCCAGATGCCTCCGCGCAGTTGTCGCACCTCTCAGCCGCCCTCCCCAAAACCTCTATTCGCCGCAAAATAGCCGCCTATCTTGCTCTCACGAAACCTCGTCTTTCAGTGTTGATCGTGCTGTCTACGACATCTGCGTATGGCATGTACCCGATCTCGTCTCTCCTTGCTCTCGACCCGTCAATGACGCCGCTTCCGACTCTATCAACTTCTACCCTTACTCTTCTTTACCTCACGGCGGGGACATTCCTTTCGTCATGCAGCGCCAATACATTGAATATGATGTTCGAACCCAAATATGATGCACTTATGTCCCGGACACGAAACCGGCCCATTGTCCGTGGTCTCGTCTCCCGCCGTGCTGCCCTTCTGTTCGCCGTTGCCACAGCCGCTTCGGGTCTCGCTCTGCTATACTTCGGCACCAACCCAACCGTGACTGGTCTTTCGGCTGCTAACATCTTCCTATACGCCTTCGTTTATACGCCATTGAAGCGTATACATGTAATCAATACCTGGGTCGGTGCTGTCGTAGGAGGTATTCCTCCGTTGATGGGCTGGGTCGCAGCGGCAGGTCAGACAGCAACAACGGGCCACGACACATGGCGCGACATGCTCTTCAGCCAAGATAGCATTGGTGGCTGGCTGCTCGGAGGAATTCTATTCGCATGGCAATTCCCCCATTTCAACGCCCTCTCCCACACTATCCGCGAGGAATACAAGAGAGCCGGATACAAGATGCTCTGCTGGGTCAATCCCGCTCGCAATGCCCGCGTCGCGTTGCGTTATTCCATTCTGATGTTCCCGATCTCCATTGGTCTTTGGTATGTTGGTGTTGTCGGCCACGGCTTCTTGGTCAGCAGCTCAATCGCCAACGGTTGGCTGGTGAAAGAAGCATATCATTTCTGGCAGCATCAAGGTGCTAACGGTACGGCCCGCGGTTTGTTCTGGGCCAGTATCTGGCAACTTCCCATTCTGCTTGTCGGCGGTCTCGTTACGAAGAAGGGCCTATGGGACGGTGTCTGGAGGAACGCCTTCGGTCAACCCGAAGAAGATGAGGATGATTATCTCTACTATGACGACGAAGGTGAAGATGGAGACACAGGAAACCAGGTCGTATCCCAGTCGGCCTCTGTCTCCAGTTCTCGTCCTGCCAACGCGGCATAGTTACTCAGTGGTATTCCTCCACTGTAGCCTTGTCTTGGTTTGCCTGTGTATTAGATTGATTCCCTTTTGGTACGGTGATGGCGTTTTGTATAACAGACATGGTTGCTCTTCTTGACATCTCCGAACTGTAGGTATATATAGTCATGAATTTCCTTCTATATCTTGCATTATTTCATCAATAGCTATTGGCCAAATGGCCCAGAATGCAAATACACTACGGGTATTTTAAAACCACTTGAGAAGAGATCGGGTATCATATGTTACATCTATCTATAGTACAGACCCATTGTATATATACAGCTCTTAGCTAGTCGTAGCCGCGAGAACCAAAATCACTCCTTAAGTCGAAGGTGGTATGTCTCCAATGCCTCCTCGGTCATAACGCTAGGCGCCTTAACCATCGGGTCTTCTCCAACCTTGCCTATCTTCGGGAATGCGATGACGTCTCTCACAGACTCCTTGCCCAGCATCACGGCGACAAGACGGTCGAATCCCAAAGCCAAACCAGCGTGCGGCGGGCAGCCGGCTCGCAGAGCTTCTAGTAGGTGGGAGAAATCCGCTAACCGCTCAGCGGGCATCTGGAGAATGTCTCGGAGGATGAACTCCTGGACCGTAGCGTCGTGGATACGACGACTGCCACCACCAAGTTCAACACCGTTGACAACGAGGTCATAGTGATCTGCGACGACCTTTGTGGGGTCCGTTAGGAGGAGGTCGACGTCAGCGGCAGTCTTGGGGGCCGTGAAAGGGTGGTGCGTGGATGAGATTCCGGCTGCGCCGCCTTGGCCGGGCTCGGAGTCGCTCGAAGGAGAGAAGAGGGGGAAGTCGACTATCCAGCGGAAGTCAAAGCCCGTGGGCGCAGGCTTGAATCCGGAGGTGACAGCTGCAGAATGGAGGGCGCGGCGGAGGTCACCGATTGGAGTCGAGCCGCCGGAGAAGGGGGCTTTTTCACGAGCTTGGATTACGATGAGGTCACCGTGGTCAAGCTCGAGTATTTCTTCTAAGTACTCAGCAGCCTCGAAACCGAACGGCTGTAAACCGCATAAGGGTTTCTTTGCGTCGTACACGAAAATACCTGGGCCACCTTCTGGGTTGTTGTTGAAGGGCACACCGGCTGGTGAGTCAAGAAATTGGGAGATAAATTCGGACATAGCGGCGGGGTCATTCTCGTTGTTTTCGATTTTGAAGACTTCAACTATAGGGAGGGTTAGGGGTGTAATCTTGCTGACAAGGTCCACTGGAAGAAGGTGCTCAATTCGCGAGATCTCCATTCCGAACCGGGTATCGGGCTTGTCGGAGCCATAGCGACTCATGGCGTCCTGGTAGGACATCCTTTGGAAGGGACCTGATGGCCCGGGGTCTTTCATCAAAGTTGACCACAGTCTGCGTATGATTCCTTCCACGGTCCGCATAACGTCCTCCCCGGTTGCGAAAGACATTTCCATATCGAGCTAGTCAAATTGTTAGGGGTGTAGATTAAAGATAGATTGATACGGTGAGGAGCGCCATTACCTGAGTAAACTCCGGCTGTCTATCTGCACGGAGATCTTCGTCGCGGAAACAGCGCGCGAACTGGAAATATCTTGGTATTCCACTCGCCATCAAGATCTGCTTATACTGTTGCGGGCTCTGAGGCAAAGCATATGCCAAGCCGCGCTTTCTGGTTGGTACAAGGAATTCACGAGCACCTTCTGGTGTCGACTTGAACAGAAGAGGCGTTTCTATTTCCACAAACGGTGGTTGACATTGTTCCAGCTCTTCTTTGCAGACATTGTGCACTTGAGCGCGGAATCGCAGCGCATCACGCAACTCGCTGTCCGAACGCAACTGTAGAAATCGCTGTTTCGGAGCAAAAACAGTATCGGACTTCATTATGATATCACTTGGGAAGTCATTTAGTGGCCGAATATCGTCAACCTGGATTTCCCAGGGATCGGCCTTCTCCATCTCGGAGCCTTTTGCCTGCTTTGCCTTAACCTTTCCTCGGACAGCAACGGGGCTGTTGGCTCTCACAGACTTCAGCTTCTCCAATGCACCGTTCTTGGCGAGCGAGACTAGCTGGATGCTATGCTTCATTGTTGGATCTGTCAAGCGCA